ATATACATATACATATACATATACATATACATATACATATACATATATATACATATATACATACAACTCGTGTAGATTTTGTTATATGATATATGTAATATTGTATAATTAATTGTGTATACATAGGTAGGGCCTATGTAACTCCGACTGACCTCGAAAAGCTGGCTGCAGCGCAGCGGAGTCAGCGCGTTCACAGCCAAGTTGAAAGGGGCACTGGCCTGGAGCTTCTGTGTACTGCGGAACTCAGGATCTGTCGAACTTTCAAGTTCCAGAATCCATTATTAGGTCCTTTACCAAAGATCTATGGGTTACAGATGGTTACAGTATATATATATATATGGGTGTACATCATACTGGCCACTGCTTCTAAAAAAATCTAACAAATCATCCACTATAAAATGAAAACCTGAGTCCAAGTGATTAGGAAAAAGACCCCCTATAGAATAGAAAATTGGGTTTGCAATGCCTCAAGTTTGGTGTCACTTTTGGATATGTTTTTTTCCCCAAACTGGATGGGCGCAATCCAGGTACCATTCTATAGTAAAAACTGGCCTACCAACCTCATCTCTATAGAATCGTACCCCCAGGTTACCTATTTTATATAATTCCAAGGAGGATCATATATATGTATAACATATAGGTTCTATATATATATATGTATGAAACGTACATATATATAATATAATATATATATAAGTACATATAATATATATATATATTTATTTATATATTTAAATATATTTATATTTATATTTATATTTATATATATATATATGTATTTATATGTATTTATATATATTTATATATACAGTATATATTATGATACATCCCCCTTTCCATGGATTCAGACCTGGGGATTTCCAGCTTTCCCATCCCACGGCGGCGCACTTGCTGTGCCGGTGCGATCAAGGTCACTTTGGGTTCGCTGCCCCGGAAGGCGCTGCGCCTTTCGACTACGGTGCTACGGGGGAATGACCGGTGATCTCAAGCCCAATGGGTGTTTTTACCCGTTCTAAGGAGAAAAAAACATGTATTTTAAAATCGATTGATATGTATTGGCAAAGTTTTGATTGGGAATTTTGGAGGCACCCCAATCACCACTTAACCATGGCTTCAAGAATGCAGTATGGCAATGGAGAAAAAAGAGCAGGGGAAGCGTTCAATCATCCAATAATCTTAAAACATCTTAAAACCAATCCAAGATGATAGCCCTCCTGCGACGACTTCAATCACATCCAGCTGCAAGTGATTGACTTGTTCCTGCCTGGAACTTTAGGATGGCAGCTGCAGATTTCATAGCAATGTGTTTGGTTTGGCTTGGGCCATCAACTTGTCAGCTTGTGCATCGCAACAACAGCATACAACAGCTATGTCGATCACTGCCAGATCATGCCAGCGCACCCTGCCACACCTGAACTTGAAGTCTCCATGTGACACCAAACGATCTGTGCCTCGGGTTTTTCACATGTGTGAATTCGCACCTGTGGATAGGTCAACTGTTAAACTTCAATTCAGAAGTGCAGGAGATATTGGGGGGAAGTTGGATAGTTTAATAGTAGCTTGCCGAAGAACATGAAAATTGTAGATCAGCATCCCAACATCACAGTGATTGTCAGCCCTGGTTTTGGGTCCTTGGCTCAAGCCAGGTTTCTGCCGGTAACATGATCCGATAATAATGGGTCCCCACTAGACAATAAGGGGGGTATAATTGGGTCAGAACTGATAACATGTTGTAATCGGTTCAAGCATCCAATGTACGATCTAAACTAATCTAAACCTGCCACGGCTCCTAAACTTGGAAGCATCAAGACCAAGAGACAGGTTCCAATCATGGATTTCTGCAGCTTGCCATCCGCCCCCTGCAACACACAAAAAAAAGGGGCGCTCCCCCTGGTTGGTGCAAATTTTAGTTGGCGGGTTCTCGACTTCATCAAAGTTCTTGTCTTCCAACTATTGTGATGGTTGAATTCCCATACCCTCTGGTAATTTAACATAGCTATTGAAAATGGCCATTTATAGTGGATTTTCCATAAAAAAAATAGTGATTTTCCATAGCTATGTTAAATTACCAGAGGGTACTTTTGATGGTTAAATCATGTTGAATCCTACTCCCCACCTTGCCGTCAACTGTGACGACCACTTCCACCTGGCAGGGGACCATCTGATTGGAGGCGAGGTTAGTGGTTTTAACTTAGTGGGCCTCTCAGCTGTTGAAACATTGGGTTTACCCTATGGTAAACTAACATAACTATGGAAAATCACCATTTTTTATGGGAAAATCCACTATAAATGGCCATTTTCAATAGCTATGTTAGTTTACCAGAGGGTACCACAGAAAACAACGGTTGTATTCAATTACTCCCACGAACGCAAACAAAGATGGGCCCCTAGTTTCTGTAGTTTTAAAGCAGGCCCCGAACCCAAACAACTCTACTTCAACCAGTTGTGACCAGTAAAAATCGGCCTTTATGGACTGATTGCCCTGAGTCTTCAGAGTAATTGCGCAATTGTTCTTGTTTGCTGAATCCCTCTTGCCTGCAAACTCCCATTATATGTTGATCAAATCATATCAAATCTCTATTTTTCTTGGATTGCACAGGCTTCACAAAATCATGTCTTATATCCCATGTTCATCCATGTTCCATAATTTTTGGTAACTCCAAAAGGCAAATCTAACTCTAAGTCGTTTGGCTTTCAAGCTCCCCATGGCCGCCTCGGGCACCGCGACTCCAAAGGCCGTGCCGCTCATGGGCTGTGCCACGCAGTAGGCCTTCACGGAGGCGTCCAGCACGGGGCTCAAGGACAAGCGGACAGCCCTCGATTTTTGGAACGGAGCCGGGTTTTTTTTCCATCAGGAAAGCAATGGAAAGTAATGGAAAGTAATGGAATTACCAGCCAAAGATGGGCGAAACCTTGGATTTCCTGGAGGTGTTCTTGAGTGGGAATGTTGATGAAGTGGGCTGGGGGGTTCATTTAAAATCTGGGGAATTGATGGCTGGGGAATCAGGGGATGGAATGGGATTATGGAAAAGGATCAAGCAGGAAATGCTGAGCTGATGGAGGAAGTGAAAAATATGGCGCTCTGTGCACCTGAAAATGTGGATTTAATCTACCAAAATTGGGTGTCGAACACCTGAGATCATATGGCAATGGTAAACAAACAGCTGGGTATGGTTCGCTGATTTCAAGCCACCTTAAATTGTAAGTCATTCATAGCAATGTCTATTGTAGGTATGCATACATGAATATATATATATATACTGTATATATATACACTGTGTATATATTATATAATATTATAGATATACACAAGACATAGTTCGGGGTTTACCACAGCGCACCAAACCCATCACGGTATAGGGATCTCGGTAGAGGTCATTTCACCCTGGAATGCCATGGTTTTGACGCAAAGCCGATATTGCGCCATCCCTATCTGGGTCTAAGTCGCGTCTGACAACCGTTGGGGGATGGAAATGATGTATATAGACATATTATATATATATATATATTACAACCTATAAAAAACCTTTGGGAAAAAGAGCGTTTGCGTGGTTCTGGAGATCATCGAAGGGGAATACATTACCATGGCTCACCATGGAATCTCCACCAAAATAGCTCGGATTTCATGGATCATCCCAAACGAAAATATGCTATTTGGGGGGTTCTGAAAATTTAGGTACTCTATCAACCAGCGGTTTTCCGATTGATAATCAGCATTTTTTGGTGATTTTGAGGTCCCTCATTTTAGGAAACCACCGAATTTCATAGGTCAATGGATCCATCCCCAGGTTCTTGGTAAAGTCTTGGGACCTGCTGCCCGAGGAGCTGTGCAATCGCTTCCACTTGCTCGCGGCTGGCATCATTCCTTGGTTCTGCTAGACCTGACCTTTGGACGTACACAATCTAGTGGAAATTCATGGAAGTTTGATGGTAATTATTGGTTAGCAAGGGCTTATATTCAATATTTAATTATATAATAATGGTTGATAATGGTTATAATACCATAATGTGGGGCAGCCCAATGCCATAATAAATTTGGGTGAATTATATCTACCAACCATAAAAATGGTGATGACTTGGGGATACTTTATGGCATTGGGTTTACCACATTACACCATCTAAGTTTTAAAAAAGTCATCATACCATCGAAACCATGACTATATATCCGCCGATCACCAAACATGGCAACGGAAAATTCCCCGGCAGTTTCTTGCCGAAATTGAGAATGTTCTATTGCCATGTAAGACTGCCGGAAGGTATGTGATGTCATTTTTGCACGTGGGAACCGCGTGTAACAACATATCTGAATTCCATTGTAGCCGGATCTGGCGCCCCAGTAGAATGCAGATATATCCAGATCCCATCCATTGATTTCCTCAAGCTCCTACCATGGATCCCAAAGCAGTCGCAGGTCACAGCTGGTTTGGGATCCACCGTGGGCTCTTCGCCGAGCTACGGCTTCAAACTCTGAAGCAGTTCGTGCACCTGACGTTCTGAAGCCGAGGGTCTTCTGAATCCAACACGAATCAGGTCTCTAAAGTTACAGGATTTTACAGGCATATGCTATGGGACCTATGGGTCAAAACCGTCAAAACCCTAGCACCCGTTTGAACACTAAAACAGGTGGTAATTGCATGTTCATCCCGAAAAAGGATGGTACAATTGGTTTTGACCCATAGCCATATAAAGAGACGGGTTAACAAAATGACCGATGATCATGTGCATATCAGGAAGGGTCAAAATTGGGCACCAACTTCCAATTGGATTATTGGTATATGATGCTTACCCTCTCGTTATTTAAGATAGCTATAGAAAATTGCCCATTTGTAGATGATCTATGATGATGTTACTATTAAAAAATGATGATTTTCCATGGCTAAAATAAAATACGAAAGGGTAATATTGAAAATGTTCCAGGCCTTTTGTTTCTTCACCCGACCCTTGAATTGCAACTCGAACACTGCAGCACTGAAGAGCTTTGCCCATCTATTTCAGTACAGTAATCCGATCCGTGCACGCCGCCATGTGAAAATCCCAAGTAGGAATCCTGGATGTATTGTAAAACTATCATCCAAATGCATTGACTGTATGCATACAGATCTCAGATACGTATTCTATCTGTGTTTATATATGGAGGTGTCCTAAGTCATGGGGGGATACCCCAAAAGCTCGATGGTCAATGGAAAATCCGAAAAACACATGCAGGATGCCGGAGGAGAAACGCCTCATCCTGCCAGCTTCCCGCAGCAAACTTCGGTGCCTGGCCGATCACAGGACTTGGTGCTATCCATCTGGCAAAATCACCATTTTTTTCTGGGTGAAATATGGTGAAATGTCAATCTTGTGCTCAAGATATCCAACGAAGGCATCAAAGTGTTTTATATATATATATATAGTATAATGTTATAGTATAAATAGAAATGATATAAATTGATTCTTCGGATCTGTCTCGGTGCTTAAAGTGAAAATCCTGCAGATTTGTTTTGTGAAAATCGGATCTGTCTGGCCCGGCCTTCACAGGCATCACGCTGGGACGCTTCACTTCAGGCTTCACCAGCCTAGGGATTCTCATGGATTCTCCATGTTTGATGACCAGAGGGTAACATAGATCTGGAAAACGCATGGTTTTTTCGATGATTTTCCCAGGCTTTCTCCCTTAAAATATCTGGGAAAAATACACAAAAATGAATGGAAAAATATGGAAAAAATGCACCTCAAAAAATTATGATTCCCGGCAAAAACAAAAACATCATCTTTGGGACACCATGTTCCAGGTTCCAAGTCATTTTCCAGTATCCCTAGAGATTTTCACCAACCAAAATGGTATGTAATTTTGCTGTTTACTGGCAAACAGACACAACCAACAAAAATACGGTGTATGATGGTGTATGAACATATATTAAATTATATTAACCAAAAGTAAAATCATTTAAAATCGCGAGATCAAGGAGCCTCCATTCGTTGATAGTTCCTGTTTTCGCCAACCCCCGAAAAACCAAGCATTCAGCTGGGATGAATCATTCCAGTGGGGATGGGATCCTCCCGGCTTCTACTTTTCATGTGCAGATTCCAAATCCGGATTGAGGAAGAGATGCAATATCCATCATCCATCAATATCCGATAGACATGCCTTGATATCTCTTGACCTTGGAATATCATGGAATATCACAACTCAGAAGAATTTAACATGTTGACTTCAGCCAGGGTGCACTCACAATTTCTTTAGAGGACAACTTCCTACAAGGAGAAGTCAAATCTTGAGTGGGCATTACACCTGTCTGCCTCTAGCTGAAAATTAAACCTTTCACCGATGCCCTCCCAAAGTTGATTCTCCCCCAGCCAACCCACCTGCTGAAGGCAGAATCAAGTAACGATGCAGGCGCCGGAACTGCGCGAAGCGAACTCCACTTCTGGTTTTCAACTGGAGTAAAGCCTGGCATTATCATGTCAGCTTGGTACAGATCAAAGAGAGACCATTGTTGATGTTGGCAGCTGTTGGCAATATCACTACACTTTTTGGATGTTCTTCGTTATCTCTCCATTCGTCATATCCCCATGATTCTTGGTCAAGTGGTCCGGTGAACTCCGCTGTTCAAGGGGGAAATCCCGGAACTAAATGGCTGGGAAAAAGATTGATATGTTTGATTTACCAGAAGGTAGACTACCCAACAATGGCAATTCTGCTCGGGAAAAGGATGATTAACGTGTTGATTTAGGCTATTAGGGGTACTCATGGGTACTCTATTTTCAGACGCACCCAAATGAAGTAGTTAGTGTCCAATACTTTCTAGCATCAACTGTTCATTTTGATGAACAGTTTTCTAAACCTAGCTGTTTTTTTTTGGAAGTTTCAGACAAACCAATGTCACAGAGGCATCGGAACAAAGTTTTGCCGACCTCACTACAGATAGTGGTTTATGGAGGGAAACTTAGGAAAAACATCCCAACATGGTTATTATTATCTGTGAGGGAATTGGAAATTAACGTCAAATGTTTGATTGCCCATCATTTGTAGATCATTTTCCCACCAGTAAGGAAACCATTCAACCACAAGGTGGTGCCACCCCAAGACCTCGCCGCTCCCTGCGCAGCTCTCGCCCCAACAGCGGCGCCGCGGAGCCACGCTCCACGCCACGCTCGGTGCGGAGGCTGCGCAGTCGGCGGTCCGAGTCCTGGGGGGGGTCCATGGTCATCAGTTTGAAAACACCGATTCGTTGGTATCATGGTTGACAGTCTGCGGACACCATTCTCATCTTGATATACAAATGGTCTAGAAACATGATAATTGATATTATTATAGTAATACAGTAATACAAGACAATTGTTGTAATCCGCCGGCCTGCCGCCGTGTCTGATTGGAAGGTGTTGTTCCTGACTACTACTACTACTACTACTACTACTACTACTACTACTACTACTACTTCTTTTACTTTCCCTTCTTCCCCAAGTACTAAACTGGTAGTGCCGGTACAGCACTCCAGTCGTCTACCGGTGCTAGTCACTGATCGGCACTCATTTGGTATGCGGTCCATAGGTTCTTCAAGCACGCACTTGCTACTCAAGCTGCGCCTGATCTGCGGCTCTGTCTTTGTCGACTCAAAGCCTCAGCCACCTTTCGGTCCATCAGTGGGTTCGCGCGGCCATCCACTCATCACAACAACTCACCTCTCCTATAGGTTTCCTATCTTTGAAACTTCCGCCACTGCCTTGTGCGGTACTATGTTAGTTATATGACCCGCCAGCTTCTCTTTTGCTTCCATTGAGGTTGTGTGACGTTGCCGCTGTCTTTGCTAGCGGTGGTGTCAGCGACTTCATAGAAAAACGCCACGTTTGACATTCTATCATCACTTGTTTCCATGGAGGCTCGGGTGGGGGGGTGAGGGGGTGTGGGGCAATAACGTTCAATAACATTTAATTTGCGTAACATTTGCTTACTCAGAACATGTCACGTCTTTGGCATGGTGCGGCTAAGATTATGCCATATGTTAGTATATGTTAGTTATATGACCCGCCAGCTTCTCTGTTGCTTCCATTGAGGTTGTGTGACGTTGCCGCTGTCTTTGCTAGCGGTGGTGTCAGCGACTTCATAGAAAAACGCCACGTTTGACATTCTATCATCCCTTGTTTCCATGGAGGCTCGGGTGGGGGGGGTGAGGGGGTGTGGGGCAATAACGTTCAATAACATTTAATTTGCGTAACATTTGCTTACTCAGAACATGTCACGTCTTTGGCATGGTGCGGCTAAGATTATGCCATATGTTAGTATATGTTAGTTATATGACCCGCCAGCTTCTCTGTTGCTTCCATTGAGGTTGTGTGACGTTGCCGCTGTCTTTGCTAGCGGTGGTGTCAGCGACTTCATAGAAAAACGCCACGTTTGACATTCTATCATCCCTTGTTTCCATGGAGGCTCGGGTGGGGGGGGTGAGGGGGTGTGGGGCAATAACGTTCAATAACATTTAATTTGCGTAACATTTGCTTACTCAGAACATGTCACGTCTTTGGCATGGTGCGGCTAAGATTATGCCATGTGTTGGTTGTTGGGGGTTTCGGGTGGGAGAGTGGTTGTGGGGGGGGGGGGGGGGGGGGGGGGCAATAACGTTCAATAATACTTGAATACCTAGATGATGCTACGCTACTGCACACTCACGTCATCTATTCTTTCTCATGTTACGTATTGTTATGTCACTTTATGTAAAGTTCATGTATTACATATCATGCTACGCTACTGCACACTCACGTCATCGTCGCGCTCTTGCCTTGCACAGACAGAAGGCTTCGAGTGGGTTAACAAATCCATCCCAGTGTTTTCAAAAACCACTGTAGAACATGTGAACATGCTTGAAGAACAAAAAAGGCTGACTATCAACACATGAGTCGGTGTCAAGACCACAAAACTTGCTGATGTTTGCAGTGGATTGCGAAGGGGTGTTCATTTTGCATGATGGCCCACAATATTTTGGAAACACTATTTACCTGGTCGCAAGATTTAAGTTTAAATATTCGACAACCCTTGCGGTGTTTTTCCCTTCTTGGAAGTTCAAAAAACAAAGGTGTAGTTAGATGTTCTGTCTTGTGAAACAGACATGTTTGAAAAATGTCCGCGCAACACATGACATGTTGTTAAAGTTACTTGCTTCAAGGACTACACAAAAACATTGAACAAATCCCATGCAAAATGCACATGTCCACATTAAGGATTTCATTCAGGGAATGGGGGTCCAGGGGAACCTAAGGGTTGCGCCGTTATACGATATATCACATCTGATAAATGATGCATGATGCGTGATATATGAGATGAGAATGATATTGGCAGCCATAGGAGAGATACAACCAACAGCAACGAGGAGGCACCGCTCCTTTCGTGGGACTTGGCGTTTGACGCTCGGCTCCAACCACTGCATGAACATGTATCCAGCCTCACAGGTGATTTTCTCCTCATTGTTTCAGCCATGATTTATGGGTCAAAGTGATGGGTGTGAATCTGGAACTGTTTGGATTTGAACCTATAGTTTCGTCTATTCATTCTATTCATTCAAGGCTTTGGAGATCTTTGGAGGTTTGGATCCTTTTTGGATCTAGGTGTTCAATGAAGATTCCATTATATAACGCATGATATTCTCATTCTATAAACATTGAATCCCATCAAAAATCCCATCAAATCCCATTAAGACTGAAGTGTTCCCAAAACTTGGATCCAGTTAGTGATGGCTTGCCACCTGATGCTTAGCAATTTCTGGTTCTGTATGCAAAATCCCAATCTCCTTGCTGCATAAAGACAAGACCTAAATCCACCATTCCGGTCTAAGAAATCATCAAATCCATTGAAATCTTCCAGTGTCCACCATGAATTCCTGAAAAATGCCCCGGAACTCCCCATGAGTCATGCCATGTCATGCCATGTTCACCCGGTGTTTCGCCCAGGGCTCCCAACAGCTCCCAGAACTGCCGCCACCAGGTGGTGCAGTTCTAGGGGCAGAACGGCCGTGAAGACCGCCTCAGCTGAGCCCCCAACAGGATGGGTGGATCATAGAGGATGGGGCCCCCAAAAAATTTTGCGAAGTTGCCTCATGTTTGTGGCTGAATTCTATGGTTTATGGTAGATATATGTAGATATAACGAGCTACTGTAGTTCATGGGGAACATAATATGTTATAATGGCTTATAAACCAACTTATAACATTTATAACTGGGGGGGGCCATCCTGTAGTAATTATTCCACCATGATTGGCATTATACCAATGATACCAGCCATCATGTCGGGGAGGATTGACTGATTATGGAATGATCATGATAAATATGATACACAAGTATGGTAAAGTATGGTATATTACAGTGGAATACTTGTGGGATAACTATGATAACTGAGAACTGGAGACTGAGGATCATACTAGTTGGATAATAATTATTGAGGATGATAATGATAATACTATTCAGAGTCATATCATATCCCAAGCATTCTCTAATTATGATGGGATAGGCTGATTAGTAGGGATGATTAGTGGTTTGATAATAATTACTTTACTAACCATCCCCATTCCCTACTAAGCATAATAACTTCCTTGTGCTTAGTAGGGAATCCGGGAATGGGATGATTGTTAATAGATGCTACTGTAATAGTTTTGGCATGGGTCATTCCCCCCATTCCCTACTCAACACCGGAAGTAGTGGGATGCTTCTTATGGGATGACGTAAAACCAGCCACCATTGGGGCAACCATGGTGTACCCAACTTACCTTCTCCCATTGCTTACTCTTGGGTATACCATGGTATACCCCTAGCAATGGGCTGATGTAGAATGACCCCAAATGGTTAGTTAATGGTATGGTTTACCACATTGCTAACCATTTAGAGCCTACTGTAAATCAAGAGGTTCATCATCATTTTCCGCAGTAGAATAGCCATTTTCCGGTGGTATATCCTCTGGTAAATCAAACATGGCTGGCTCGAAAATCCTCAGTCAAGGATGATGTTCCCACTAAAACCTCCACTTAGAGGAATTTCACTTGACCACGTTTGATTACCATCCAAGTAGCCAACCATTATGGGTCGAAAGCATCCCAAATAGGGTATCCCCAACAATAAACCTGCAACCCCCAAAATGTTCCGAAAAGTGGTTCCAGGATTTTATGGAGGATATTTACTCCATATCATGGCCATCATGGGAGACATCCAGTCACTCACCAATTACTGAGCTATCCGAGGTGGGGATGCTAAGCCAAAATCATGGCCTCGGATCATGGCATCCATGGCATCCATGGCATCCATGGCATCCATCCTGGAGCCAAGGTACAATGAGAAGGATACACTTGCTCTGCCTACAGCGGGTGCAGTTCACTCCTGTTTCTGACTTTCCATGGTCATTACAAGGGGTCATTACAAGGCAAAACCACCGTCAAAAGCCAAAGGTTGGCAGCAAGGCTATCCCGCCAATAGAAGTCACCTGGGTATCATCTTGCCAGGAGTGGAAAATGACACATATTCGATTTGGCACCTGATAGCCAGGACACGCAGAAGTATGGCTTATTCTGGCCCATTACCTTACAATTCACACACACAATGTTGGCAACCCAACAATAAACCTACCATTTGGGGATGGTTGAAATCCCATCCATAGAAATTGTGATTTTGAGGATGGTTCATTATTGGGTTTACCACAAATTACAGTAATTCTTCTCCAAAATCATCCTGACAAAAAAAAACAAAACAAAAAATCTGCCCAGCGACGTCTCCATCTTGCAAAACCTGTCCAGGGCGGAGGAAATCGAGTTGAGTTGTACACCTCAGCCACGCTGTCATGACCCGGTCATGATGGGGAAGCAATCCATGACAAACCCCTAAGGTCCATATGAAGCATATGGGGATTTGACCATCGGCTTCATCAACAAATACCGCCTATGGTTCCACATCATTTCAGGCTCGCGGATCTTTTTGGGGCACCTGGACATCCCAGCATCATTGGAAATCGCTCTGATGCGATGCCCATCCCCCGGAAAAAAAGGTGCTTCATCATCTATGTCTATCTTAATCTATATAATCCATCTTTAGTCTTTTGACCGCACCAACATGATGACGAGGTACAGAAATTGTACTGCATAATATCATGTACATATCGTTTACACATACAATTATACAGACACATATAATTATATATATATAATTATATATATATAATTATATATATATAATTATACGTGTATATATATAATTATATATATATGTGTGTGCTTAGTGTGTTGAGATATGATGTATCTGGAACCCAAGTGATACCTAGTTTGTATGGTCACTTGGTTAAACAGTTAAACCTGTTAAACCTCCTTTCATGGTAGAAAAAGACCTGCTATATAAACATTCTTCTAGAGGGATCCAATAATTGATCCCAACGTTTCAAACTTCCTGAATCACATCAAATGGTTATATATCTATATAGGATCTTTTGGTTTTTGTTGCTTCTTGCATCACACATGTATAATAATGTGTATTTATATATCCACATTTTAATAATGTAAAAAAACAAGTATATAACTCTGGAGTCTCCAGTCATCAAGAATGCTTTTGCCACACCCAAAAAAAAAGGCGGTTGTTTTTTCACCAAGCAGCAAGGCATGAGTATGGCCGGGATGTTGGTCCTGCACGACTCAGGATCAATCCTATCTTCCAAAATCCCAAAATCTGACCCCAGAATCTGCCTGGCTCAAGGCGAAAGGTTCGATACCGGGTAGTAGTTGGGTGGTCCCGATCGGCGGCCGCTAATGGCTGCGGCCAGAAACAAAAAAAGGCTCCCTCTGTGTACGGTACGTATACATGTATACCTTTTATATCAAATATCATATAGACATATACTACTGTATAATAGTAACCAATTATAATATACATACCCCATACATTATTATTGTTATTACTATTAATCATTATTTATCATTATGAATATTACTGTTATTGTGTTTTATCATCATTATTATCATTATCATTATTATCCTTATTATTATTGTTGTTGTTATTGATATGATTGTCATTATCATGATCATCATTATATATACGTAATATCATATACAGCATTACGCTTACCTGGAAAAATCACTTAGTCATGTAGGTAAATCAAATGATGTGTCCAGCAAACGTTGGTAAATGCATGCCAGTCGGATGCGTGGTAAAATGTGGTATGCATCATGGACCAGCCATGAGGTCCCACACAGGTGAACGTGCGCCTCTGGCAATATCTGCAGTGGTCGAAACACCTCTTGTGGAATAATCCGGCATCCACAATGGAGGGCCCTTCCCATCCCCTTCCAAGCCGAACCCAGTGTTCATGCCACCCATTTTGGACTGTCCGGTTGATGGGCGGGTGAACATCCATCTGGAATTACCCATAATATATACTATATAATTAAGGGATTCCAGAGTGCTATGTGCCGGTATAAGAACGGCTAACTTAAATGCTGTATATATAATATATATAACAGCCCATTTGTTCAGAAGCCATTCGCAGTTTTGACCGACTGGGACACTCTCAACAGTTCTTTGCGCCAAGTGTTTGCCGGTAAAAGCCCCATTTGTTATTGCTTAAATCCCCATTTGAGTAGTGTTTTTGATCCATTGTCTTTCGATGACCACTAACAATCACTAACATATAGCCTACGCAACTGTCTATGTCGAGCCTACGCCATTGCAGAGGTAGCCTACGCGGTATGTTTTTTGAAGGGCTGCCTACGCAGGCCTATGAGGTTTTAGAACCGCAAACCGCAAATATCACAACTGACCAATGCAAAATGAAGAAGTTCTAACTGTTGCCAACGAGTGTCCACAGAAAGCCTACGCGGTGCAGGCTAAAACGAGCCTACGCTAAGGCCTACGCAACCTACGCCGTCTGCATGGCTACGTACGTTTGGGGCATAATCTGGCTTGTGGAGTTCCCACTTTATCTATGTTGTTCCTGCATCCATTAAAAAAAAAAAAACTACTCATTTTGCTCTTGCTCAAATCCCAAATGTTACAGCAAGACCCAGAGAACCACTGATTTTCGATTTCAGTAGCACATATAATATGTATTTTGGGGGCATACACAAATTGGCCCACACCCATCCATACCATTTTTTTTCCAGCAAGGTAGTTCAAGTACAGTTCCAGTTCCAAGATGTCCGGGTCTGGCGCGGCGCCCCGAGGCATTTTCCGTCGGAAGCTCCTAGGATATGACTGGTAGGAAGGGTAGAAACCTCCTACTTGAGCTTGGAACACTCACAATTGGTGGACTTGGTACATGATGTAAATATATATTATAATTATGTATGTGTATATATATATAATGAAAATTAATGAAATATATACATATAATTAGATATGTATATATATATACAAATAATGAATATATCCAAATGACTGGCTGGGTGTCTCCTTTCCCACTTGACATGGTGGCATAACAGGAGTCCCTGGCCTTGGTTTGTCTTCTTTTTCTTCTTCTTCTTCTTCTTCTTCTTCGGCTCTTGCTGCAGATCTTTCTGCTGAAGGGTGGCACTAAACCCAATACTAAATTAAATCTTGGACTGCCACCTTTCGGATTCTGAAAAACAGCACTTGCGCTGTATAGGATCTATATAGATATGTATAGCAATAAGTGATCAAAGTTGCAGCTCCCCACTGCCACCCCTCCTGCATGAGCGCTGCAGCTCACTCTTCAGGAGGAACCCACGGCTCCAACAACTCCTGGGAAGTTGCGGTTTTACTGAGATTCACCATGCCTGGTTGATTAAGGTGGGTTTCCCCCCACTTCCATATTTATATATATAATATTATTTTCCAAGTGACCGGCTGAATATTCTATCTTTTAATTATATATTTTAGTATATTTTTATTTCTGAATATTCTATCTTGTGGGTGCCAGACTCTGTGTTTTTGAGGTTTTTGAGATATTCTATCTTGTCCCCACTAAGAGTACAAGATTATCTCTTATTTCCGGTCGGTCTACCATATATATATATGTATATCACAGTCATTCACAGTCAATGTCCACAGTTTTTAATGGTTAGATAATCTTAACTCCTACCCTCTGGTAAACTAACATAGCTATTGAAAATTGCCATTTATAGTTGACTTACCTGTTAAAACTGGTGATGTTCTATAGTTATGTTGGTTTACCAGAGGGTAAACCTCCATTTTCCTATGGTTTTCCTATGGTTTTCCTATGGTTTTCCTATGGTTTTCCTATGGTTTTCCTATGGTTACCACATGTTTCACGGTCGCATCCAAACGCTCTTCACCCAGTCTCCGCCAGGGAGGCGCCCCGGGCGCAGAGCTCGCAGGATCGACGGAGCTCGTCGCGCAAACGCTGCAGGCTCTGGCTGTGCCTGGGCTTGAAAATGGAGATCGATCATGATAGACAATGATAGATATAATATATAATAAGAAGAAAAATAATGATAAGAATAATAATAAGAAGAAGAATAAGAAGAAGAATAAGAAGAATAATGATAATAATTAATAGTAAGAAGAAGAATAGTAATAATAATATATGATAATTAATAATAATAGCTATAGGCTATTAATGACTATTATGTCATTATATATATATATTGGAAGTTCATTATGCCATGAAATTGCCCATGATATCCCAGGTATTCCGAGGGCAGTTGAGCACACGGTGTTTTCGCAAATCCTTTCGTGGAGCTTTCGCCGTAGTTGGGAAGTTTTTTTAGATCAAAACAACCTGTAAAACATGTATCTGGGTAAATTATAATAATTCACTGACCTGAATTGTTGGGCCATTTGGGGATGATTTCGCTTATTGACCATGATTCCAGTGAGGGAGAACAGTGAGGTCGTTATAATTTCCACAGATGTATACGTATTTGATATGATACATCGCCACTTAAAATCGGTCCATCATCCACTTTCGCGAAGCTTTTGCGACAGTACCCAAGAAATTTTGCAGTCCGATAGTTATCGTCTGGGATCATTTTGACCCATAGCCTCTGTTAATTTGACACAGCTGTGAATCACCATGTCCCCCTTAGTTTCATGATTTTCCATGATTTTACTATACTATAGCTGGTTGGTGGTTTTAACCATCTTGAAAAATATTAGTCAGTTGGGATTATTATTCCCAATATATGAAAAAATAAAAACTGTTCCAAACCACCAACCAAATAGTGTCCAATGTGAGTTTCCGGTGCTATGTGAAATTACCCTAGCGGCTACCCACGTCGAGGCACATGCCGTTTGCCAAGTCCACGCCAAGCTCGAAGGGGTCCTGAAGCTGGCATGGGATGGTTCCAGATTCAATCATTATAGGCCCCAAAAAAGATTATCATTATTATACTATAGTAGGATTATTGAAAAGTGATCATTATATATATCAATAATCCTACTATAGTATAATAATAATCCACTATTAGTATAATAATCCACTGTTCAATAGTAGGATTTGACTTCTTGTGTTTCGTTTTGCGGCTTGCCGTTGCCGTTTGGGATGATTGGACCCAGATTGGGATGATCAAGCCATTGATTTTGGGGGAGACAACCCATTGATATATGATCCCAAGAGGTAGATAAATCAGACCTCGTCTCGACCCCGGCAAAGCACTATCTATGATGTATATATATATAATATATATATATAGGATATATAATGATATATATTATAATGTATCTAATATATAGACTATATAGATGTATATAGTGCAAGTGGTATCCTGGTCCACCAAAGTTGAGGGGTCCGGGTCATCCAAGCAACTCAAGCTTTATTCACCGTCCTAAAGAAATTAAGTTATCCTAGGGACCTCCTACTCATCCCGCGCCTGGTGAGGACCAACCACAATGTGTTATCATGTTTCATACATTTCATGGTGCCATTTTCGGGGTCAACATGATTTACTGCCCCTGATTCCCACATATTCCCACCAGATGATCATCATGTTCTCCATTTTTTCATGGCCATTTGATGCCATTTGTGGATCTCCCCCATCTTCCGACCCCAATGGCAGGGCACCTCAATCACAGGTGCAGCCACACCATCCACCATGCGCATCGGCAGGGCCTTAGAACCTTGGATCAAGATCAGCGCTACGGCTGACACTGAAAAGTTGAAGAAAAATCAACTCCTACAAATTTTGAATCATCCCAAACAGGCTGTAAAATGAGAAAAGGAAAGTTGCAAAATACCCGGTTTTCTTGGTAAAAATCATCAGAAACTCTGGTTTTCTTCGAAAAGTCCTACAAAAAAACACGGTGTTCACTGTTTTCACCAACCAATTTCTCAGCAACGGTGACCACGCACGGAGACCACTTCGGTCCAGGAGAAGTTGGCGTAGAAGCGCATGAAACCTGCAGGGATATCCAACAACTGCAAATTTTAAGATGTGAAAACTACATTTAAATGCCTACAGTATGTCTATGATAATTTGTATGTCTATGATAGTTTGCCAGCGATTTAAAAATTTTACCGTCCCAGTTTCGGACAAACTCAAAGAGGGGGTGAAGAATGAGGGTCCAGGGTACGCATGGACCACAAAGTTGTTCATTCATGTTCATTCTTAGTAGTGATGCTGTATATTGCTGCAGATCCCCAAATTATGATCAGCAAAGAAAAGTTGAAATCGCCAACCAGTGAAGGGTATGCCGGGTATGAAGGCTTGACCCTCAAAAGAAGCATCAGAATGATTTGATCTTTGGAGGTACTGTGGGGTTGGTCCTCACGTTTCGACCCCTTTTCCATCCTTTCCTGATCAAAACTTTCCTGATCTCAGTCAACCAACCCGTCCTCATTTTTGTTACACAGCAACTCTGGTGGAATCTTCATTTCATTTTGGGACCGGCCCCTTGGCTATGACTTTGGGATGTCCCCCATCCATTGGAATCTACGGCTCCCCACTTTTGAACAGCTCTGCGCTGGACATGGTGCTCTTTGTCTTCGGAGTGGAGTTCAGGAAGCCTCTCAGGTTCCAAGGCTGTGGCAAAAGCCTGAGATACCCGGGTACTCCCTATACTTATCAGCCAACCTGGGGCGATTGAAATTTGCTCAAGTGATTTTGAGCGGTTTTTTCGTCCTCTCGGGGCATATGCCGGCATCTCTGGATAGGCTGACCACCAACAGCTGACCTATTCACCTACCCTTCACCTTGGCTGATATACAGTACCTATCCTTCAACAATGGAGTCACAATATTTCATGCCAGCTGCCCTTTGGATCACCTTATGTCAATTCCATTGAACCTCCCACGAGCCAAACCCTACGGAATATGGTTTTTACCCAATGCCATAAACCCCATATGTCTTCAAGGATGGTTTCAATCCAGGACATTTCTCGGGAGTCATTGAGGATGGTCTATCCCATGTTTGAGGGCTTTACACCCTGTCCACGAGTTGCATGTTTGCAGGGAAATATTTGTGTTATATCACCCCCAAAACCATCAACATCCATCAACCAACGAATTCAACTACCATTTCAGGGGTAGTTAATCCATCTAAATCCCTATTCTTCTATGGCGATGGGTTGAAACCATGGTGCCCTTTTGTGAACATCAAAATAGCTGGGATTTACGGATGTTCATTGAAAACAACAGGAAAATCATCGGGTCTTTGAAACTCGTCACCATCTGGATAATTGAGAATCCATCGAGAATCCACAAGTCATCCAAAATCCAAGAATCTGATTGTTCTAGATGGTTTCTATTGGTACCCTTCTCCGCTGTCAAACGTGGTGTGCTGGAAAATCCTCCATTTTAAAAAAACTTTGATGATATTCCCGAACTAAACCTCCATGGCTAGGCCGGGATTTACCACGTTTGACCATTATGATATCCCATGCTATCCCTTGATCTGCCATTGAAGGCACCCAGTCCAGGCTCAAGGATTCCGACTTCCTGGAGGGCGAAAACATAGAGGGGTTCATCATGGTTTCACCATGGCTTCAATGCGGAAAAACGGCGGAAAAACATGTTGTACAGTAATCGCCAAAAAAAATGGATTTTGACTCATTTGACCCATGCTTTTCCTGGAAGTTCACCCGGTGACGTTTTTGTTCGTCCTCTCAACGGTAAAGTTTTAAACTTGTGTGTAGTATAGGTCGAATGCCAAAGTGACCAGGCGCTCTCAAACTTTCCCAACGATGAATCCATGTATGGACCAAGGTTGGGAGCCCATGGGATGGCTGCCAAACCAGATCCCTCAGCCCTGAACTTTGAGCCGTACCCAATTCATTGCTGGTTACATCATGTTTTTTTATCCCCCTTCTGCTACCAATAGAAATCCAATCAGATCCTGAAGGTAGTAGATACCCAAGAGCATCCAGCAATACGGCGACCTCAAAGGGTCAAAATGGAGAGCGGCTTCACAAGGCAGGATATCTGTCTACGAGCATGTACGCAACGTAGTTAGATATTCAAACACATGTGTATCTGTGTGTGTGTCATGGAAATATGCAAACATCTACTTCAAAGTGGCTACTGGCCAAGATCTAAGAACTCCCGACATGTGGGTTTGTCTGAGAATATTAGGCATCCCTAAATCCCTTGGTTCATCATCATGCTCCCTATGAAAATTGCCCTTTCTGGGGACGGTATACCCTATTTCTATTTTCGTACCTGTTCTTGATGGTTGGTATACCATGACACATCCCCATGGAATCCCATCACATATCCCAGTAAAATCCAAGTCAAATTCCCCCTTACATCCCGGAAAAAAACCCTTTGCATCCCAGTAAAATCCAAGTCAAATTCCCCCTTACATCCCGGAAAAAAACCCTTTGCATCCCAGTCAAAATCCAAGTCAAATTCCCCCTTACATCCCGGAAAAAACCCCTTTGCATCCCAGTCAAAATCCAAGTCAAATTCCCCCTTACATCCCGGAAAAAACCCCTTTGCATCCCAGTAAAATCCAAGTAAAATTCCCCCTTACATCCCGGAAAAAATCCCCTTGCATCCCAGTAAAATCCAAGTCAAATTCCCCCTTACATCCCGGGAAAAACCCCTTTGCATCCCAGTCAAAATCCAAGTCAAATTCCCCCTTACATCCCGGAAAAAACCCCTTTGCATCCCAGTCAAAATCCAAGTCAAATTCCCCCTTACATCCCGGAAAAAATCCCTTTGAATCCCAGTAAAATCCAAGTAAAATTCCCCCTTACACCCCGATAAAAATCCCCTTACATCCCAGTAAAATCCAAGTCAAATTCCCCCTTACATCCCGGAAAAAAACCCTTTGCATCCCAGTCAAAATCCAAGTCAAATTCCCCCTTACATCCCGGAAAAAACCCCTTTGCATCCCAGTCAAAATCCAAGTCAAATTCCCCCTTACATCCCGGAAAAAACCCCTTTGCATCCCAGTCAAAATCCAAGTCAAATTCCCCCTTACATCCCGGAAAAAATCCCTTTGCATCCCAGTAAAATCCAAGTCAAATTCCCCCTTACATCCCGGAAAAAATCCCTTTGCATCCCAGTAAAATCCAAGTAAAATTCCCCCTTACACCCCGATAAAAATCCCCTTACATCCCAGTAAAATCCAAGTAATTCCCCCTTACATCCCGAAAAAAACCCCTTTGCATCCCAGTCAAAATCCAAGTCAAATTCCCCCTGGAAATCCAAGTCAAATTCCCCTGGAAAAAACCCTTTGCATCCCAGTAAAATCCAAGTCAAATTCCCCCTTACATCCCGGAAAAAATCCCTTTGCATCCCAGTAAAATCCAAGTCAAATTCCCCCTTACATCCCGGAAAAAATCCCTTTGCATCCCAGTAAAATCCAAGTCAAATTCCCCCTTACATCCCGGAAAAAATCCCTTTGCATCCCAGTAAAATCCAAGTCAAATTCCCCCTTACATCCCGGAAAAAATCCCTTTGCATCCCAGTAAAATCCAAGTCATCAAAGCCTCCCTTTCATCCCCTTACATCCCGGAAAAAATCCCTTTGCATCCCAGTAAAATCCAAGTCAAATTCCCCCTTACATCCCGGTAAAAATCCCTTTGCATCCCAGTCAAAATCCAAGTCAAATTCCCCCTTACATCCCGGTAAAAATCCCTTTGCATCCCAGTAAAATCCAAGTCAAATTCCCCCTTACATCCCGGAAAAAATCCCTTTGCATCCCAGTAAAATCCAAGTCAAATTCCCCCTTACATCCCGGAAAAAATCCCTTTGCATCCCAGTAAAATCCAAGTCAAATTCCCCCTTACATCCCGGAAAAAATCCCTTTGCATCCCAGTAAAATCCAAGTCAAATTCCCCCTTACATCCCGGTCAAATCCCTTTACATCCCAGTAAAATCCAGTCCAAATTCCCCCTTACATCCCGGAAAAAATCCCTTTGCATCCAAGTCAATCAAACATCCCGGAAAAAATCCCGTTTCAAGTAAATCCAAGTCAAATTCCCCTTACACCACCCCGATAAAAATCCCCTTACATCCCAGTAAAATCCAAGTAAAATTCCCCCTTACACCCCGATAAAAATCCCTTTGCATCCCAGTCAAAATCCAAGTCAAATTCCCCCTTACATCCCGGTAAAAATCCCTTTGCATCCCAGTAAAATCCAAGTCTTTTTTTCCCCCTTACATCCCGGAAAAAATCCCTTTGCATCCCAGTAAAATCCAAGTAAAATTCCCCCTTACACCCCGATAAAAATCCCCTTACATCCCAGTAAAATCCAAGTAAAATTCCCCCTTACACCCCGATAAAAATCCCCTTACATCCCAGTCAAAATCCAAGTCAAATTCCCCCTTACATCCCGGAAAAAATCCCTTTGCATCCCAGTAAAATCCAAGTAAAATTTCCCCTTACATCCCGGTAAAAATCCCTTTGCATCCCAGTAAAATCCAAGTCAAATTCCCCCTTACATCCCGGTAAAAATCCCTTTGCATCCCAGTAAAATCCAAGTAAAATTCCCCCTTACATCACGGTAAAAATCCCTTTGCATCCCAGAATAATCCCAGTAAAAATACCCTATCCCAATAAAATCCCATTCAAACCAGCAAAATCCCATTAAGACCCAGTAAAAATCCTCCTGTTAAAACGAGCCAAAATCCATGTGAAAAAATCCTCGTGTTGATAGTTCATCCACAATTTTCCATCCCATGAAATCCCCATGAAACCATCTCCAAGGCACAAGTGTCCCTTGGCTGCATGGCTGATCCCGCGATCCTTGGCCCAGCGCCGTTCCAACCTGCGAGCGGAACGGAATTTCATGGAGATTTCAGATTTCACCACAAAATCTGGGAATGTAATGTCACCAGCAAATTCTGAATCTAACTGTGTTTAACTAATAGAAATGGATAACAAATCATGACTTAAGCGGCAAAGTTGGCAGTTAAGAGTCACACACGGGGATTTAACGCGCGCAAGTGATGGTTTGACTCAGCACAAGTTGTGATTTACCCAACAAAAATCAGCATTTCACTTCACTACCAAAAAAAATAGGTCACCAACAGAATGTGTTTTATCGTATTCATCGACCAGAAATAAGGATTCAACCAAAATTCAACCAATGAAACAGCACAAAAGATAGCATTTAATCAGTAATCAGGATGGAAGAAGTTGCCTGTATTATTATGGGACTGATCCAGATATTGTGGACCATTGTTTCAGTTATTTTACCATTCACAGGTCCAATGCCAACACCTGTTGGAGTGTGGTTGATTTTGAGGGTTGGGGAGTTGCGAATCCTTGGACACACTCAGAGATTCCTCTACTTTTTGATGAATGGCATATCTGTTTTTAGTCTGTCGATGACTGTCCATCAGCAGCAACAGCAGCAGCAGCAGCAGCGTCGTCGTCATCGACGACGTCGTCCTCGTCCTCGTCCTCGTCGTCCTCGTCGTCCTCGTCGTCCTCGTCGTCCTCGTCGTCCTCCTCCTCCTCGTCGTCGTCGTCCTCATCCTCATCCTCATCCTCATCCTCATCATCATCATCATCATCATCATCATCATAGGTCAGTTTTCCAGCACTCAATGGTGTTGCCCGCTGGTTTATCTTGTTGGTTACACCCCCTTGCTTCATAGTTCTACTATCAGCCGGGTCGCAGCAGGAGCTCTGCAGCGCAGGGGCAACGTTGGCAGGCCTGGCGAAGGTAACGGCCGGGGCGAAGGTCCTCCGGATGACAAGGCAAGAATGAAGAGAATACGTACAATAGGTTTTTTTGGTGTGTTGATTTATTTACTCATGTAATTGATTTAGTTATTTATCTATTTGTCTATTTAGGGAGTTAGTTTGTTTGTTAGCTGGTTATACATACTTACTTGTTTAAATATTTGTCTTTTGGTTGTTTAACTATTTGATGATGCATTTATTTGCTGATTTATCTAGTGATTTATTTAATGTATTTATCAATTTATTTATTCATATATTTATAAATAGAAGGTTTGGGGTCAAACTTTGCCCCACGCACCCAACCAACCTTAGCGGATCCGCTGCTTAGCCATAGATCCGCGGGCTGCTGGTGACTGGTGACTTTTTCCTGGACATCGCCTTTGCGCCCTGGTGATTTTGCACGTGCTCTGGTTGGCCTTTGGCCTTCTAACACCACTGGGACCTTGGCTGGTTGGGCGTGAGCTGCCCGTGCATAATTCTGGCTCATACTGGGGTGCCCCACTACTCTTCGCTGGCGTATCCTCATTTTCTTTGGTTTCAATTTCAATTCAATTTCAAGTCTCTGGGGAACTGATTGTACGGTACACGCCCTGATCATTTCCTACAACTTGCACTACTTCACCATTACTAACTTTGTGGCCATCCTGAACTTTGTCATTGACTTGTCTGACGAAGCGCGTGCGCCCTTTGTGGTTCTGGTTTTTGACTTTACTTTGTCACCATCAAGCCTTCGATCAAGCGCTTTTTGTGGCGCAAGCGGGCAAGAGCTCGGATTTCTTGGTACCTACATCGCAAGGGCATTGCTACTTTGAGCAAATCCGACCTGCACCGTTTGAAGTTGATTCTCAGCCAACATCATTCGCGCGACGCGCACTTTTTGAAGAAGATCACAACAGCAATGGCGAATCCACCGTGGCAGTGCGGCCATTGCAGGAAGACCGCAAAGGCTTCCGCCAACAACTGCAGCCACTGTGGGGCGAGTTGGGAAGATGCCAATCCCAACTTCGTCCCACCGACTCGTGGCCAGTCAAGGAGGCAACATCAAGCACAACAAGGCGAATGGGAAAGCAACAATTGGGGCTATACCAACAACTATGGTACGCGTCCAAGAGGATCTCGCAACGACTCATCGTGGAAGCAACGACCCAAATCACCACGAAAAGGCCGCTATCATCATGGACAGAAAAGCAAGCATCATGGAGCTCAATCTCACAGCCAACCAGGCAAGGGGAAGAACCAGGCGCCCTATGGAGCAGATGGCTTTATTGCTACGCCCAATACGGCCAAGGGGCTCCCACCAGAACCCCGATGGAAACCCTCTTTGCCAAGCATGCCTGCGCTGCCCCCATTACCACCACCAACCAGCCCACATCCAGATTCACAGGCTGTGCAAACCCTCAACAAGTTGACAGCTGTGATCAAGAAGAAGCCAGACCAGTACGATGCGGAGGTCCATGCCATTCTACAGGGAGCTGCTATGGCGGAGGGGCTCAATGCGAAAGATCAGATGCTCAAAGCTGCGGAAGATTTGGGCACCGCACGCGGGGCCATAGATGCTGCAAGAATGGGCCGTTGCCAGAATCATGTACTCTGGAGAGACTTTTTGACTTCAGCCGCAGCTCGCTGTTCAACATGTGTGTGCGCAGAGCGGTGCCAACAGATCAAGCCCTTCCAGCATTTGAGCAGATTCAAGAGATGGAGGAGCATTTTGCCGACTTGACATTGATGCAGCTTTCTTCGCGACGAGTGCCTACAAGCCAGCCCACCCCAGTGAGTGCAGGCTTGAATATTCGATGACGCACAATGAGAATGTTAACTTCCAGCTGCGATCCGATGCAACCACTTTTGTACCAGAGGCCACACCACCTACCAATGCTGACAGTGACTTTCTGCACAGCCTCTGCCAAGCCTGGACTACCACTGCATGGAGTTGGGAAGATGAAGAGGCCTCTTGCGATATCTTGATTTGGTTTGCTGATCATGCTGCCCACATGCCACACGGACTCTATCCTCGGCGTTTGAAGCTCTAGTCTGACACAGGACAATGGGAAGACGCTGTTTGCCAAGTCTGGGCCGACATGATCATACCTGGTGACATCACTTGTCACACTGATTGATTCGACCACCAATGACGTGCCTAAACTGCTCTTTCGCCGTGCAGTTACAACCTTCGAGCACATCTACCTTGAACATTTGATCATTACTATGGGCTACGCTGACTCATGCTTGATGCGACCATCCCAATTCCTTTGCCAAGCTTGGTATTGCGATGTTGAGCTACATATGGGGAGGCCACTGCCTGGGTGGAGCGGATACAGCATTGAAGTGCAAGTTGCGCGCACACCAACTTTCACTGGCCTTTGTGAAGAACCCCGTGTTGGTCAACCGCCACTGCAACAGCCTGTACTTGATCAAGCCCATGGCTTCATTCGAGCCCTGGATCATATGGTGAATATGGTGCGACGTCTACACGCGGCTTCTGGATTTGATCTCCATAGTTTCGAGCTTGTTGAGACCTCCAAGCCGGCAGTTGAGCGTGATGCACATCTCAATGGGTGAAGTACGCAGAGAGCTGGAGAGGTATGATCAGTTTTCCCTACTACCCCAACACTACCTTGACCAGTTAGATGATTTTACGACCTGGACTCAGCACTGGTGGGATTGTCAATCCCCAGTGACTGAGGTCTGGATCTACCATGATGGCTCACACAAACCAGAAGGCTCTGGAGCAGCTGCAGTTGCATTTCTTTTTCAACCTGACCATGGCTGGGTTTTTGGCGGCGCCGTCTCCATTGCCCTGCCGTCACAAGTTACGTCCTATGGCGCAGAACTACGATGAGGTGTTCTTGCAGTCCAATTTGGCATTGACATCCTGAAGATTGCATCTTTAATTCAACCTCAACCGCCAGAAGTTCGACTACTCCATGACAACACGGCGGCGGGCAACCAGATTTTTGGCAATTGGAATGCCAAAGCTGACTTCCACATTGCAGGTCTTGGCCGCCCCTTGCTGGTCTATGCTGAACATCGATTTCGGAGCCGTTGGATCACACAGTATGTGGCAGGACACAAAGGGGACGTTGGAAATGAGCTTGCTGATCGACTTGCAAACCTCGCTGCTGATGGCCATCCTCTAGGTGATCAACAGAATTGGATGGATGCCGTTCTTGCACCTGGCTTTAGCAATCATGCAGCTTGGTTCTGGCTCTTCTACAGCCCACAGTTTGACCGCTGGTGGAATGGGCATGATCTTCGTCTTCCCCTTCAAGCCACTAGCATGCCAACTGTTGCGGTACTGCCCTCACAACCAGCTTGTACGCCATGTACCAGCCAAAGACAACTTGATTGCACCATAGGCACTTGCAATGTCCTGACCATGAAAGCCACCTCCAAGCCATTCGATGATGAACTTGGATTTAGTGGCCCAAGTAGGCAGCAGATTGTGCTGCAACAGTTCAAGGACGCCAACGTTTGCATCTTTGCGCTACAGGAGACACGCCTTCGCCAATGTAGCAAGAATCTCCTGGGATATCTCCTCTTTAGGGGGACGCGACACCACACGGGCACCACGGCATCATGATCGCGATCAGCACAACCATACCCTATGGCTACTATGAAGATGACAACGGCAAACGACATGACCTCCTTTTCACCACCAAGGATGTTTCAGTCGTCTGCGCCACTTCGCGCCATTTGATTCTGCGACTTCAGATGCCTTGGATGCATTGTCTGATTATTGCCGGCTATGCTCCTCATTCTGGCCATTCTGCTGAAGACATCGACCACTGGTGGACATCGCTGGCTGCCGCTATCCCTGCCAAGCTGGCTAGCTGGCCCATTGTCTTGCTTGTTGACGCCAATGCCAAACTTGGTGAAGATACTTGTGAAGCTATTGGAGCACATGGAGCAGAACGTGGAGGTGACAAAGCCTTGCCCTTCACCTCTTTTGTACGTGAACATGGGCTTTGGCAGCCGAGCACTTTTCCGTGCCACTTTGGCCCCACTGGCACGTGGCGCCATCCATCTGGATCGTGGCATCGCAATGACTACATCGGGCTATCTACGTTTTGGCCAATCACGAACTGCAAATCCTGGGTTTCTGATGACATTGATGTCTCGTTACATCATGAATTCAATGAAGACCACAAAGCAGCCCTTGTACGCTTGCAGATGCCCATTCGCCATGCTGCTATGCGCAAGCTCCAACCATTAGCCAAAGCTCAAGTTGAACAGGCTGACCTTTCGGGGCTACGACACTCACCAACTGTGAGCCCTCATATTGACATTCATGCTCATGCACAGCTTCTGCAAGAGCAAGTCCTTGACTGTCTTCCGCGACAACGAGCTCTTGGACCCCGCAAGCTCAAGTCCACGCTCTCGGATCAAACTTGGACCCTTGTCCAACGCAAGAGAGCCTGGCGACAGACCTTGCGTGAGGCACTTTGAAGCGTGGAGGTGGACCCAAAGGCCTGATCATGACATCTTGTCTAACCAGCTCCTCAACCAGTACAACCAGCTGCTTCTCAACCAAGACTGCATCATTGCGAAAGCCCTACATGAATTCCGCACCTTGGGGCGGCTTGTGATTAGGCATAGCCGATATGATGATGCGGCCTTTTTTCAGGCAGTGCTTACCGAAGGTAGCCAATATCTTGCTCCTCACCAGACTCGTGACCTCTGGAAAACCATCAAGAAAGGACGACTTGGCAATGATCCTCTACGCATGGTTACCTTGGATCAGGCTGACTGGAACCCCCACTTTGAAGCCCTTGAAGCAGGCTGCGTGGTCAGCCCAGAACAACTGATCCAAGAAGCGACGAGGCCACACCCAGGACCGTGACAGGCAACCGCCCACCATGGCTGACCTTCCTACTCTCTTTGAGTTGGAGCATGCATTGCGGGCTAAAAAGGTCGGCAGAGCAACCGGCTATGACCCACTGTCGTCAGCACTTTACCACCACAATGCTGCAGCCCTTGCTGAGCACGCCTTCCCATTGATGCTCAAAATGTGGGGGGAAGAGCCGATTCAATACAAGGGCAGCCCTATGGCCTTGATTCCCAAGATTCCACAGCCTGCGGAAGTGAAGCATTTTCGTGGGATTCTCCTTCTCCCAACGCTTGCGAAGAGCTTTCACTCACTCGTCACTCATCCGAAAGCGCACCATACGCCTTCTGGATCGACAGCGGATGTTAGGGCAATTAGGCGGCTTTGCAGGCCAAGAAGTTCTTTTTGGGTCTCAAGCATTGCGTACCTTGGGGCGAACAGTGTCTGCCAAGGGCCTCAGCATGGGTGTGCTCTTTGTGGATTTACTATAATAGTATCATGTACGACTTCTCCATTGTACTCCATGAGTACCTGGACAAGAAGGACACTCTGCCATCTTTGAGGAACGACTTTCCATGGAGATCGACATAATTATTTGGAGCGACGATCTTGCAGTACCCACTATCACTGAGAAGGCTGTTGACTTGGTGCCAGCGCTTTTACGTTTGCTCGACTTTGTGCTTGCAGAATTTGCCCAACGCGGCTTCCAATTGAACCTGGCCAAGGGCAAGACAGGTGTTGTGGCCACCTACTGCGGCAGTGAGGCAGCATCCATGAGACGCCAATACCAGCTCATACCGCAGCCTGGTACCATTTTTGAGTTTCAAGATGGAGCCCTTCAGTTTGTCCACATGACACCTTCCTATCGACATTTGGGTACTCTTTACACCTCCGACCAGACCTTGGACACGGAGATTTCTCATCGAGTCGGCATGGCGAGGTCTGCATTCGAGCAGATCCGACGAAGGCTATTGACCAACAAGCACCTCCCATTGAAGCTGCGGCTCCAGCTCTTTGGTTCATTGGTCTTGTCCAAGCTCTTCTTTGCAGCAGGATCTTGGCACACTCCAACGGGACGCCAGCTCGACAAGATTCGCGCGGCCATGGTGCGTATGGTGAAATCCATCTACGGCATCACAGTGCGGCATCACAGTGCGCTCGCTCTCCTCAGCCCGCTTACTTGCACAAGCTGGCATCCTGGAGCCTCGAGCACGGCTGGCAGCGGAACGACTGCTGTATGCGCAACAGCTTTACCATCATGGTCCTGCATTCCTTCAACTCATGACTCATGCAGAAGCATGACAACATCCATGTGCGTGGCTGACAGGACTTCAGCACGACTTGCGATGGCCACATGGAGTTGAAGCAGCGGAGGACCCCTGTCTTTTGGACCCAGACATGACCGAGTTGATCAGTGAGTGGCAGAGGGATACAGGGCGTTGGATAGCGCGTGTGAGAAGAGCCACCATACGACACATTTACCAGGAAACGATGGTTCTGGAAGTGCAACAGTGGCACGCTGACATCTTCAAGCTGCTCCGGGCACACACTTACACGTTTGACCGGATCCAGCCTTGCTTCACTTGCAGGAGAAGCAATACCAGCGCCCAGATCGCGACAGATCCTTCACGACGCCACAGGGAGTCCACTCGCATCGCCGGAAGAAGCATGGAATCCATAGCCTGGAACACCATTTGCTGGACTCCGCGACTTGTCCAGCTTGTTTGACATATCTGTGGAGTACTCAGCGGCTCCAACAGCATTTGTCCTACATGCCTCGCAGTGGAATGCCAAATCCATGTTTTGCGTATCTCCCGCAGATAGGTTATGCAGTGTCCTACTCTGCGGAGCACATCCCACGAGCAATGCAGGGACAACGCCGGATGCTCTTCCAGCCGCAGGGCCTTATGGATGCGGACCTTCAGCACGTGACCGGCAACTGGCGCAGCTGCGAACTACCAAGGCGGCACTGGAGGCTGAACTCAGTGAGTATGTGAAGCCTGATGATGCAGTCGACGCAGGAGCCCATTTAGGAGATCTCCTGACGGCGGCCACCCACAAGTGGTATTCTGACTTTGGGGCAGCACACTTCAACATTGACGAGGTGGACAAGCCACAGGATAGATGGATTGACATCCTGTGTCGCCTGCCACAGGAATTTGAATCCTGGACCGCCAGGGTCTTTATCCTATATGGGGCAGGCACATCCTGCCGGGTATCACTGATTTGATGGAGAAGCTGAAGCCTACTTGGATGCCGAGTATGCCGCGCTTGCCTCCGACTTTGACGAATACTGGCTTGAAGTTCGTCTTCAACGGGTTGATCGACAACTTCGTGCTGCACAGCAAGAACTGCCTGCGCCTGAACCTCATCGACCTGCACGACACCCTCAAAGAGACGCCAAGCCGCGCTCCATCCCGCAACACGAAGTGGCGCAATTATTTGATGCGCAGGAGCAGTGGCAGACAGACCTTGCCAGAGTTCAATGGCAAGACTGAGGACCCCTACACGCCCTACATTCCAGGACTAGCTCCGCGACCATCGTTTTTGGTGGTACACTTATTTTCTGGTCGTCGGCGAGAACATGACATCCACAGCTGGCTTGATGATTGGGCGGTGCGCCACAATATTGCCTGACGGTTTTGTCACTTGACACGGCCATTTCCCCGGTGTTGGGGAACCTGGAAAGCCGCTCTGAGTCGTGGGCTCGTCTCCAGGACTTATACTTGCAAGGGTATGTCTCGGCGACCCTGCCTGGACATCCATGTGAGGCGTTCTCATCAGCGAGATGGACGCAACCACCTCCGGAATTCCAACATCAGCGCTGGCCCCGACCACTGCGCACAGCCCTCAAGCTATTTGGGCTCGATCACAGAACTCTACGTGAACTGCGGCAGACGAGTACAGGCAGCGCTTTTTTCCTGCAAACAATCTGGACGCTAGCGTGCCACATTGTATTTGGGGGCATCTACATTGAGGAGCACCCGGGAATACCACGCCATGATCATCACCCATCCATATGGAAGAGCTCCATCGTGCAGATTTTCAGATGGCACCCTGATCTGATGTCCTCACAATGGAGGTTCGGTGCGACTTCGATCAAGCCGACCGGGTTGATGACTCTGAGGATGCCTAGGTTCCTTGGTGATCTCTACGCCCATGCAGATCCACAAGCTGAGCGACCTACCGCTCCAGCCATTGGAGTAGATGCCGATGGCAGGTTTAGGACGGTGGTGCATAAAGAGTATCCCCGTCGTCTTTCATCAGGGTTAGCTCATGCGCTGGCCTCCCAGCTATGGCGTGACCTTCGCGCCCGACATGTCCGGGAGCCAGATCCGAAGCGACCTGGCTGCCTGACTATCAAGGTTGAGGCTTTTGGCGTTAATTCGAGAATCATGCAAGTTGGCAGCAAGGATCTGACCCCTTTGTGCGCCATAAAGTTTATAAATAGATTTTTATAATGTGGCAAAACCCGATGGTAAGCCAACCCCCAATGTGATCAGAAATAGGTGTAAACAGCTATCTCCCAACTTTCTCATTATATATAGATCTATCACTGTCACATTAGAGTCAAGACATGTTGGGATCATGTTGGGTTGCTAGCTGTTCAAAGCTGTTCTACAGATTTATCCAAGTTTGGAGTGTTGAGTTCGCCTCGACAGTTCCATTGCGCCTCGAAAATGCGTTGAGCGCGCGATGGAGTCATGGCATTCACGGAGAGGTTGAAAGGGATGCCCGCCTGCGCGGACTTAAGGCAACAACCGTTCTTTGGAACATCCAGAAACAAAGCAGAAAAGTGAAGAAATAGGTATGGATCAATACCTATAGATACATAGTGGGATGAACATCCATAAATCCCAGCTATTTTGGGGTTCACTAGGTACCAGGGTTTTGACCCATCCCCAAATAGGAAATGAATGGAAATGAATTGAAATCACTCCTCTGAAAGTGTTTCCTGCAAAGCCCTTGGTGATTTTTGCTGGGTCGATCTCTAGGCCGCTCCTGACCAAACTTTGGGCATCCATGAGTTTGATCCAAACATGTTATGCGTTTGAATCATCAGTAAGTTTAAGATACAGTACTAATTTTCATCAGTTAGGTACTAAGTTAGGTACAGTAACACTTCTTATACTGTACTAACTTTGAATTATCATCAAATAATGTTGTATACTGTGCTAACTTTGCCAGAGAGGATCCCCATGAATCCCCCTTTCCCTGCCTGGCCATCAGGTGATGGTGGAGAGATCAGGGTCACCTGGTTTTATAGTGGGTGGCTGAATTGTCCCCAGAAAAATGGCATTTTTTGGCCCAGAAAAATTGGTCTATCTTGGTAAATATGAATGGATTTCAGAGGATTTCCCCTTGGTTTGTTTCATGTTTTGACTAGGTGTTTCCCGCTTTCATCGATGTTCGTCTATTCGGGAACCATTGCAGCGGAAAGAGCATGTCATCCCAACACAAAAGCCCTAGACACGACGTCAAATGACTTCAATGATGTTCTGTTGATGGTACCTCAACCTCGAACACACATAAGGCCAATCTTGGGTGGAAGCTTTGCAGGCATTGTCCCGAATTGTCCCACTGAAATGACTGCTTTCAAATGACCGTGCAGGAAACAAACATGTTGGTGAAAGTTTTTAGGGCCCCCATTTTTAAGCCGTGTATGCTTTTTTTTGTATCCTTGCCATTTTTTCTCATTGGAAGAGTTTTCTATGGTATTAAATGTTTGTACTTAAAATGTGTCTTCTCCAGTGAAAGCCGATAGTTTACCACAGCTAAGCTAAGGACTTCATCAGAATGTTGGTCTATAATGAATGACTTCAAGCGTTACATAGTCTGCGAGCATCCCTCTGGTTCTTGTGTGCAATTCAACCCGTTCTTGTAGATGTACCCCCCTTGCTGTCCGTTGCACAAAAACCCACACACATTGCTAGCAAGATCCCCGCTTGTGGTGAGTTCAGCAATTTCTGAATGGTGAACTCCCACATTGCTGAAATTATGTTGCTGTTTTCACGCTGTTTTTTTTTGGTGAATCCAGTTTTGCTGGTCATCCGTCACCAATCCTGTTGCGAAGACCCGCCCTCAGACCTTGGGTTCGTTTCCACGGAAAGCGGAGCGGCGGAACTTGAAGCCGCCCGTCACAAGGCGGTCAGTGCCTGGATGACAGCTACATTTGGATGGCGTTTTCTTCATGGGTAATGGGATTCAACCAACAAAAATGGTGATTTAATGGTGACTTAATGGGGATTTGATTGAAATACACTCCTATGATGGCTAGGTGCAACCCCCGAATCATATATGGCTACGTCCAAGTCTCCGAAGAAAACGTGTGCAGTTTTTTGATTTTTTTTCCGGGGCAGATACAAACAGTAAACTTCGTAAAGACTAATGATCTTCCCATGTTTTGGTCATCCGCAACTCACCACCCTTGGGCCGCCCGGCAGGTGCGAATCAGAGACTTCTGATATTTCGCAGCCTCGGGGCCAACAACCTGGCACAGCTGGCTGAAAAAACTCAAAGTTTCGGATGTTCAGAGATTTAGTGTATAATAGTGAATAATGGATGAAATAAAGGTAGTAGATGTGTATGCTTACATCTATCTAATTTGGGTGGTCAATATTGTATAATGTTCTAAAATATCGTTGTCGAAAGAAATGTTGGCTACTTCAATATAAGATCATAAGAATGAAAAGCGGAAGAACAACTTCTTAAAACTCCTAAAAGGCACGGCACGCTTGAAAGGATGGTCTGTTCAGACGATAGCCACTGAACGCGGCATGTGTGTTCCTAATATGTGTATATATATATATATACAGTGTATATATATAATTGTATATATATATATATAGAGAGAGAGAGATACACATACCATTACCCAAGTCAATTTATCCCATTTCTATGGCCACACCCAATACACAAAAAACGAGGAATGGTATAGGTACGAGTATTGAATAAAAAAATATTATATATATATATAGATAGATAGATAGATAGACAGACAGATAGATAGATAGATAGATATTATCATATATGTGTGTGTGTAGGTTATAAATAGACATAGATCACATTCAAATCATGCTTACATTCAATTATGTGGTGTCCGTTTTGTCATGCTACCCCCAGTTCTCCAGTCGTCCCGCAGCGCCTGCGCATTGGACCCGGACGTGACGACAATCTCCACATCCGGCACTGCCACACCAAAGGCCGTGCCCGTCAGAGGGTTCGCCAGAGCATAGCCCTCCTGAACAGAAGCAAAACGATGTGGAAAAGCATGAGGAAACCTCAAAAACCCTCAGAGACTGGTGGCAAAACCCATGGAAAAACCCGGGTTTTAGCTTGGGGAAATGATCTACGGTGGAGAAATCCACATCCTTTAGTTTACTCCAGGGCATCATGTAGAAAACGATGGATTTGAGCATGGTTCAAAAAGCGGAATTACTCGGAAAAAATCGTCCAGAAAGATCAGGGATGTTGGGGATAGATGGGGATAGAATGGAGATATCAGTACTGTAAAGAAAAACATGAGAACGTGGATTTGAGCCGTGAAGATAGGGATTTATTCTGTGCAAATAGAAACATTGGGGATTTCACTTATCAATTTATGGAAGGATTCTCCAAGACATAGGACACAGTCTATAGATTTGAACATATTTGATCCACACTTTGGAGTTGTCAAATCAAAAAAGGGATTGTCTCAATGAGTGATGGGTTTGACTAATATGTGTATGTGTACAGTGTATATACAGTATATATGGAAATATCATGATTGGAAATATGAGTTGGTACGGATAACTTCTGAGCCACCTACGTACACTTATTTTTTTTCCACCAGTTACTGTATTTCCACAGATTTCCTATTAAAGGCCAGTGGATTTTGGTGCTGACTGCGGGGTGTCAAGTCATTGGAGTACCCGGGTAGAGGATCCATCCAAAAATCGAGCCATTTCTAGGTACCCTTTGAGGATTCATTTTGGGAGCTGGATATAGCAACCCCCCCAAAACGATAGAAAAGTCAGATGCTACTAAAATAGTGATAAACGGTGATAAATTACTGGTAAATGACGTTTCTCGCAGAGTCGCAGAATTGGTTGAAGGGCAAATATACAATAATATACAATAATCCCATCCCCAGTTCATATTCAACACCCCCCACTCTAATTATGGTTCCAAGTGTATGATTTCATCCCCCACATCTACCATGGTTTCTCGGGGGGGTGTTTAAAGGCTGAACAGGGGAGGTAACCTTGACACATACCCAGAATTACCCAGAAATATCCAGAAATGGAAACCCAATCAACGCATGCTATGGAGAAATGGTGTGATGATGCGGTGTGCCTCTATGTAGAGCTATGGATCCGCAGTATCATTAGATAATATTAGATATAGACCCTACATGCAAATGATGAATATATGTGTGAAAAGATAGGGCACTGAGAATCCATGACTATCCCTGCATAGTGGAGAAAGATCGATTTCACATGACAAATGTTCCGCTCGCAATCTGTGTGTACTTTTTGTTGCACGTTCCGGGTGCCAATCTATTGTCACTTCAGTTTGAAGCACCAACAATCTTCTCAAAAATCTACGGATTAGGTGCTCAGATCCCGTTTGAAATTCTTTGTTTTTGCTGGTGTTTTCTTCGCGCAACACCCCATTGCTGGTGGCAAGACTATACATGAGCGGATCTGTACAAAATCCTCATTTTGTTTAACAAATCCATGGATTCCCGTTGAAAAAGAACTATGAACACGAATGACCTTGTTCTATGCATAAGAAGAATTATACGTAAGGATAATTGATGACTGGTTGGTGGTTTCAACCCCTCTGAAAAATATGAGTCAGTTGGGATCATAATTTTCCCAATATTTCTGGAAAGTCATAATCCAGCCATGTTCCAAGCCACCAAGCAGATGATAATGAATGATCCAACTAATGAATACTTGGAGGATCATCCAACTGGATGTAACTGGTGAATCATGGTGAATCACCAGCCAAGTCTCCAGTGTCGTGGAGCCTTGAAAGATAGGCAACAGCAGATCCTTCACCCTCCTGAGATCGGCCCAAAAATAGGATTATATAGTATGGATTAATATCATCCATATCTCATGATGGAAGTCCTGATCAAAAATGGATTGTATTGTCATACATATATATAATATATGTATATATAAATATATATGTATACATAATATTCCAAGTTTTGCCCATATGCGCAACAGGCACGAATCTGGCTTTCGGAGTGGAGATATAAGTATATATAAGTGTCAAATACTTGGGTTTGGACAACAATACTGTGGACTTCACAAAAACCTGCAGTTCACCATCACTTGGGAGCTGACCAAAGTGTGACCATCCAAGACAACTTGGTCACCCAAAGTGGGAGGACTCTGGGGCCCTGGGGCCTCGCCCTTTATTCATCGCCCAAATCAGCGATGATATGCCAGGCATCTGAGTGATGGAATCCACTTGTGCTCGCACTGTGTTGGTCCTTGGAAAGTTGACTTAACTTCCGATGGGTCGCGGCTAGAGCGTTTAGGGGAGCAACCGTTGCAACCCACCAGTCTCTCTCTGTGTTTCATTGGTTAGACTCAGCCATGTTTATTGGTCAAAAATCAGTTCGTTCTATGCACATGAGTTAAAATTCCCATTTTTTGAACATAAACAATAACATAATTTGAAACGTCCCCCAATTTCAGCGAAGGCTTTGTTGATAAGAAAGTACTTTTGTGGTGTAAAAATATCTCTGATTTTGTTGTTCATTCATCCCATAGTTTTTTGATTCCTCCCATCTGGTCGTATGGTCAGATGGGGATTGGAAACAGCTACCTATCGGATCATCTGTCAGATGGAGGATGAACACATCCAGCCAGCGATGTCACCCATTCCCATCCCCGAGCCCCCATGGTTTTTTGGAGCCCCCATCTTTGAGACCTTTGAATCACTGCCTGGGGATACTCAAAAATGTCCTATATGTATATAACATGATGTAATCATGATATATCATCAACAACATACAGTAACAATACTGACCACATTCAATACATAGAAGTTCTTTACTTCGTGTGAAGCCCACCACCTGATATATATTCTGACATTTTATCTAGCAGCTAACATTCTCTTTGACCTATATTTTGAATGTTCTCACAATTCTATCTGACATTCTTTCTGGCGTTCCATTTGACATGTCATCTTGCTTTCTATCTGACCGTCTATCCCGCATAGTGTTCCGGGGCCTGAGCGTTGGCGGACTATCTAGAGACCCTCCCGGGAAATTCATCATCCAAAGCAAAAAGAAACGGGTTGAGATAATAATATGACAGTAGCAGTAAATAATAACAGCCGCAAGCATGATTATGGTTGTTCCTTATATAAAATTATATATATAATATTATATAATCTATGTACGTACAGCATTAACTAGTACTATGTAATAACAAATAACAAACAAAAGTACTAGTAATTGAAAATGATATTTAAGACAATCAATGAACAGAAATAGCATGCAATAAGACTGGTGTGACAATGATAACAACAATAACAGTAACAATTACAACAACAATGATATAATGATAATAATGATAATGTTAGTAATGATAATGATAGTAATGATAATGATGAAAATAGTATTGCTTTAAAAAAAAAAAAAAGTAATATATAACGGTAATAAATGATTATCATTATTATTATTCATTAGTAATAATGACAATAATGATGATAATACATGATAATACAGTATTGATCAGTGATCATGTTTCAACCCGCTCTTTGCCCAGCTGCAACTGGAGATTCTGTAGCAGTTCCTTGACCTCCGCATCAAAGCCCGTGGCTTGAAACTTGGGCGCCTCGTGACGGCGCCGGGTCGGGATGGTTGGGTGTCCCTACGACATGAAATCCCTATGAAATCACCATGAAACGATGATTGATAGGATGTTGATGACATGTTAATACATGTTATTGCAATAAATGTTGGTGGGTCACCTGAAAAATGGAGATTGGATCTGCAACTCTGGTTGGTAAAACCGAGATTTCAACCGCCCGCCTCCCAAGAAATGTTCAAAAAAAGGTAGCGAGGGGTGCAGAACATCCACGAAGTCGGCAGCACCGCAATTGACTATGATGAATGTGGATATGGATTTAAATTGGAACTGTAGGTATCCATAGCTCGCATTTGTTTGCTCAGAAATCGGAGTCTTTGGGGGGCCACCCTCATTCCCGGGCACCTGAACAGGCACGACGCTGGGCTTTTTCACCTCCTTCATCACGCGCACCTCGCGCTTCTCTTGAAACTTCTTCTCCATGTCGGAGGAACTTCGGCGCTTCACCTGGAGAAATTGAGATCTTGGATCTTAGATCGGCACCAAAACTGTCGGATTGAAATGGGAAAATCAAGCGCTAAATTATCAACGACCCATGAAAATGGTTATCGTTGCAGATCTTCCCAGCAAAACCACCGCACCTGCTGATACGACCGACAAAAATGCGCATTCAACCGAAAACTGTCAAAAAAAAACAAAAGCAAATAGACATGGCTATGCAACAAGTCTTGGATACCCAAGAAAAACTCAAGTTTCCCCCACAGATAGACCCGATTCCCTGCAGGATCTCTTGATTTTCCGTTGATGCCTGCGGCTCGCGACGGCGAACCGTGGGTTCCAGCTTTTGAAGAAACATGTAGCCCGCCTCAGTCGTCATCCCACGAGGAATTACCAGCGACGTTTTTTCCAATAGCGACAGCAAAAAGGAGAAATCTGCAGAGAAATGCAATTTACACATCTCATTCTGAGTGCTGAGTGCTACCATTGCCTTCTAAGCCCCAGGCAGCACCCAACACCATGGCCACCAAATGATGAATCTCCAGTGGTAGCACAGCGGTGAGGATGCCCTGTGCCGCGATGGCCCCAACTGTTGCCCCCCAAACTACTAGGGAGCATGATATATCATGACTATATGTGTTTATATGGCAGTGTGTCAACACCTTGTACCCCTGTAGTTCACATCAAAATAGCTGGGATTTATGGATGTTCATTCCCCTAAAAATGGTATTAATAGGTATTGATCCATACCCATATCTGGTATCTATTGGAAATACTGCCCTGACCGCCCAGTTCAGGGCATGGCGGTTGCAAACCCATCTGTAGGTAGCGAACATGTTTTGACTCTTTTGATTTTTCTAGTTGGCAGAGCTGCTGAAAGCGTTTTGTAAGGGAAATGCTGCTGAAACATAGTGCAATGTTTACCTTGTTCCTTTTTTTCGCTTCAGCTCTCCGAACATTGGTGTGCTAATTATTCAGTGTCTTCAATATTGACCCGTATTGACACAACTCATCATCAACTCATCCACTGCTTCCCATGTGCCAGTGTTCTTTTCCTCTTGCTTGTCTCTGCATAGACAAAAAAATGTAGTGAAAACAAGCAACGTCTCCAGTTGAAACAACAGTTTCCAGAAACTTCCCAAATACCAATGACTCTGGAAATATGTAACTGAATCATACTGAATCCAGGTACACCAGTCAGTATAGTCAATGGATAACAAAACCATCAACCACCAGGGATCAGCTGGTGATCAGCCAAGCAGCGGCCAGAATGATGCACTGAGTGCGAAGGTCGGCTTCCAAGCCGAAATTACCTTGGCAGGACAGTGGACAGGTGCCCCTTTTCACCTTGAAAGCTGTTAATCGGAAATTGTTCTTTTCATCGGAAATTTCCCTTGCCTGGGTTGCAAAGTGGTATTCTCCAGCTATGAATGTGTTTCAATTATGTGACTTATCTTCCACGGAGAACCCCCCTTTGATTTCCCCTATGTCTTAAAAGATTTGGTGAATCCCGTAGATTAAAACCTCGCACAAAACTATATCCGCTACCTATGTGTCAAAGCCCTAGTTACTATAGTTTTTGAATGTTTTTGATAAGTAACTCACAATATGTCCAAAAAAAAGTCTTACGTCGCCCTTTTCGGTTGGTCTCCCCCATATTTTGATCCACCTCGCACCAAGGGGCGGAGCAAGCTTCGTACCGAGTCGAGTTGCATGCCTGAGCCGCAGGGTACCCTAGGCCAATGCATGCATAGATATAGATAGATTGGATTACTGTAGATTAGAATATAGATCAGAACCAGAGCAGATTATATTAATTATGTGGATTGGATGGGCTAGATGAAATAGATGGAATACATCGAATAGATAGAATCGACTAGACTAGAATAGACTAGAACGGAACGGAATAGAATAGAATGCAATAGAATACAATAAGTAGAATACAATAGAATGGAGTAGAATAGAAGAGGATCGAATAAAATAGAACAGAATAGAAAAGAAGAGAACATAATAGAATAGGATAGAATAGAAATCAATAGAAAAAAATAAGAATAGTATACAATAAAATAGATTGGACTAGACTAAAAGGGGACAGGATACAGGACAGAAATAGTAGAATTGCAATTAAAACAGAATGGAATTGGACAGGTCAGAGATAAATAGAGGATAGAGATAGATATGGATACAGATACTAGTAGATAGATGGAGAGTAAGAAATGCATAGATTATATAGATAGAAAGATAGACAGAGAGATGGATGGATGGAGAGCAAGAGATAGATAGATGGAGAATACGAGATAGATAGATGAACCAGATGGAGAAGGAGGGAGGGAGGGGAGGGAGGGGGAGGGAGGGGATGGGAGGGAGGGAGGGAGGTGAGGGATCTGAGGAGCGGAGGGAGGGAGAGAGAGAGAGAGAGATAGATAGACAGATAGATAGATAGATAGGTAGATAGATAGATAAATAGATAGATAGATAGATAGATTAAGTAGATAGATTAAGTAGATAGCTAGATAGCAAGATAGCTAGATAGCTAGACAATTAGATAATTAGATAATCAGATAATAAGACTAATTAGATAATTAGATATTTAGATAATTAGATAGTTAGATACTGGTAATTAGATAATTAGATAACTAGATAATCAGATAATGAGATAATTAGATCGATAATTAGATAGATAATTAGATAGATAATTAGATAATTATATAATTAGATAATTATATAATTATATAATTAGATAATTGGATAATTAGATAATTAGATAATTAGATAATTAGACAAATAGATAGATAATTAGATAATTACATAGATAATTAGATAGATAATTAGATTAGATAGATAATTAGACTAGATAGATAATTAGATTAGATAGATAGGTAGATAGATAGGTAGAGATAGATAGAGATAGATCGAGATAGGTAGAGATAGATAGAGATACATAGACATAGATAGAGATAGATAGAGATAGATAGAGATAGATAGAGATGGATAGAGATGGAGAGAGATGGATAGAGATGGATAGAGATGGATAGAGATGGATAGAGAGATATAGAGAGATAGATAGATAGATAGATAAATAGATAATTAGATAGATAGAGATAGATAGATAGATAGAGATAGATAGATAGAGATAGATAGATAGAGATAGATAGATAGATAGATGGATGGATGGATGGATAGATAGATAGATAGATGGAAAGATAGATAGATAAGATAGATAGATAAGATAGATAAGATAGATAAGATAGATAGATAAGATTCGATTCGATTAGATTAGGTTAGGTTAAGGTTAGATTAGATTAGATTAGATAGATGAGATTAGATTAGATTACAATAGAATAGAATAGAATAGAGTAGAATAAAATAGAAGAGAGTAGAATAGAATAGGATAGATAGAGAGATAGATATACAACATAGATATAGATAGATATTAGATATTAAATATGTGATATCAGATACTAGATATTAGACATTAGACATTAATATATTAGATATTTAAATATATTTTAGACATATGATATATATATATATATGGAAATAAATATAGATGTATATATATTTAAAAAAAAAAAAGATAGATAGAGATGGATCGAAAGATAGATAGATCAAAATATAGATATATGATATATATATATAAACAAAAGATAGGTAGTTCAAAAGATAGATAGATCCAAATTTAGATAGATCCAAAAAATAGATATATGAAAAAAAGATAGATGGATCGCTAGATAAAGGGATTCGATAGACCGATAGATAGATCAAACGATAGATAGATCAAAAGATAGATAGAGCGAAAGATAGATAGATATTAAAACATAGATAGAACAACATGTATATAGATCAAAAGATAGATAGACGAAATATAGATAGATCAACATGTAGACAGATCAAAAGATTGATATGAAAATATAGATAGAACAAAATATTGATAGATCAAAAGATAGGTATGTCAAAAGATAGATATATCAAAAGATATATAGACGGATCGATAGATAGAGGGATTTGATAGAGGGATTAGATAGACCGATAGATAGATCAAAAGATAGATAGATGAAAAGATATCAAAATACAAGTATAGATAGATCAAAAGAAGTATAGATGACAATATAGATAGATGAAAGTATAGATAGATCAAAAGAAGTATAGATGAAAAGATATCAAAATACAAGTATAGATAGATCAAAAGAAGTATAGATGACAATATAGATAGATGAAAGTATAGATAGATCAAAAGAAGTATAGATGAAAAGATATCAAAATACAAGTATAGATAGATCAAAAGAAGTATAGATTACAATAAGATAGATGAAGTATAGATAGTCAAATAAGTAATGGCATGAAAAGATAATCAAATAATACAGTATAGATAGATCAACAGAATTATAGACTGACAATATAGATAGATGAAAGTATAGATAGATCAAAGAATTATATATACAATATAGATAGCTGACAGTATAGATAGATCAAAAGAATAGAGATGAAAAGATATCAAAATAACAAGTATAGATAGATCAAAAGAAGTATAGATGACAATATAGATAGATGAAAGTATAGATAGATCAAAAGAAGTATAGATGAAAAGATATCAAAATACAAGTATAGATAGATCAAAAGAAGTATAGATGAAAAGATATCAAAATACAAGTATAGATAGATCAAAAGAAGTATAGATGACAATATAGATAGATGAAAGTATAGATAGATCAAAAGAAGTATAGATGACAATATAGATAGATGAAAGTATAGATAGATCAAAAGAAGTATAGATGAAAAGATATCAAAATACAAGTATAGATAGATCAAAAGAAGTATAGATGACAATATAGATAGATGAAAGTATAGATAGATCAAAAGAAGTATAGATGACAATATAGATAGATGAAAGTATAGATAGATCAAAAGAAGTATAGATGAAAAGATATCAAAATACAAGTATAGATAGATCAAAAGAAGTATAGATGACAATATAGATAGATGAAAGTATAGATAGATCAAAATAAGTATAGATGACAATATAGATAGATGAAAGTATAGATAGATCAAAAGAAGTATAGATGACAATATAGATAGATGAAAGTATAGATAGATCAAAAGAAGTATAGATGACAATATAGATAGATGAAAGTATAGATAGATCAAAAGAAGTATAGATGAAAAGATATCAAAATACAAGTATAGATAGATCAAAAGAAGTATAGATGAAAAGATATCAAAATACAAGTATAGATAGATCAAAAGAAGTATAGATGACAATATAGATAGATGAAAGTATAGATAGATCAAAAGAAGTATAGATGACAATATAGATAGATGAAAGTATAGATAGATCAAAAGAAGTATAGATGACATATAGATAGATGAAATATAGATAGATCACAAGAAGTATAGATGACAATATAGATAGATGAACAGTAATAGATATTATCAAAGAATAGAGATGACAAATATAGATAGATGAAAGTATAGATAGAATCAAAAAGAAGTATAGAGTACAATAATAGATAGAATGAAAGTATAGATAGATCAAAAAGAAGTATAGATGATCAATATAGATAGAGAAGTATAGATCGATCAAAGAAGTATAGTTGACAATATAGAATGCGATGAAACGTAAGAGATAGATCAAAAGAAGTATAGATGACAATATAGATAGATGAAAGTATAGATAGATCAAAAGAAGTATAGATGACAATATAGATAGATGAAAGTATAGATAGATCAAAAGAAGTATAGATGACAATATAGATAGATCAAAAGTATAGATAGATCAAAAGAAGTATAGATGACAATATAGATAGATGAAAGTATAGATAGATCAAAAGAAGTATAGATGACAATATAGATAGATGAAAGTATAGATAGATCAAAAGAAGTATAGATGAAAAGATATAAAAATACAAGTATAGATAGATCAAAAGAAGTATAGATGACAATATAGATAGATGAAAGTATAGATAGATCAAAAGAAGTATAGATGACAATATAGATAGATGAAAGTATAGATAGATCAAAAGAAGTATAGATGACAATATAGATAGATGAAAGTATAGATAGATCAAAAGAAGTATAGATGACAATATAGATAGATGAAAGTATAGATAGATCAAAAGAAGTATAGATGACAATATAGATAGATGAAAGTATAGATAGATCAAAAGAAGTATAGATGACAATATAGATAGATGAAAGTATAGATAGATCAAAAGAAGTATAGATGACAATATAGATAGATCAAAAGTATAGATAGATCAAAAGAAGTATAGATGACAATATAGATAGATGAAAGTATAGATAGATCAAAAGAAGTATAGATGACAATATAGATAGATGAAAGTATAGATAGATCAAAAGAAGTATAGATGACAATATAGATAGATCAAAAGTATAGATAGATCAAAAGAAGTATAGATGACAATATAGATAGATGAAAGTATAGATAGATCAAAAGAAGTATAGATGACAATATAGATAGATGAAAGTATAGATAGATCAAAAGAAGTATAGATGAAAAGATATAAAAATACAAGTATAGATAGATCAAAAGAAGTATAGATGACAATATAGATAGATCAAAAGTATAGATAGACCAAAACATAGATACAGGGATGGATAGACACAGCGACTGGCAAATCCTCGTGGCCGATCACATCATGGCTTGCTGAACCGATTGATCATCCATCGGCTGAAAAGGTCCCTTTGCGAACCTGGGGCTCCATGGTGAATTTTGGATGACCAAACCGAGCAAGAATCCAAGGCCTAGATGTAGGACCCATTCAGCAAGTCGGAGATTTCTGGCGATTCAAAGTTGTCAAAACACCCTAAGGGTCTTTCCTGGGAAGCCACTATCGCCAGAGGAGGCCTCACAACAAGGTTGTCTCAGAACTTGGAACCCAAAAAAATCCGACGCTTTATCAAAACATCGCCCAATCCTCCCCATTCCATGCCCTGCTGCTGGGCATGAGTGATTTGAGATCTCAAAGAGATCTAGGCCAAGCAGGTGTGCGTTGGCCTCACCAGGTCTGGTTCAGTTGGTAGATGCTCATCCCAAACATGTCCAAATGATGATGTCATATGGCTGGTCAAAATTCAAGAGACCACAGGAATTCTAATCTAGTTTGCTATGAACCATCCAATTATTGGGGTAGTCTTGACCCGTACCCATATTACAATGATTATGTTTTCCACCCAGCCCCAAATGGCATCGAAATTTGTCAAATGGATTCAGGGCCAATTGCATGGAGCACTCAGCAAGTTGCAGGATGCAGCGGATATCATTCAACTTTGGTTTTCTGCTGTTGCTTGAATCCGGCGAAGGCTCAAAACAGGTCTCCATGAATTATGTCAACAGAGAGATGAGCTACTACTCCAACGCTCACCATCACTTTATGTCTCAGTACGATGGCAAGAAAGTGACGGCGACCTCATTGAGCAGCTGATTGAGCTCAAAATCTGTCACATCGTACCCATACATCTGGGTATGATTGACACATGAAGACCCTGAGAACCACGGATGGACCCGCCATTACTAGGATTACATACAGGATTGAATCGTGGCTGTATCATGTCTTTTGGTTGTCACAGTTGTGTATATCATCTCATGTGTTCATCTTCTTGGCCACAGTAATAGACTGTATCATGGGTATACCGGGTATACCAGGCAAATTGGTGGATTTCTGATGGTCCCATCTCTCTCCGGCCTCAACGAGATGAGGTTCAGTACCGGGTGTTGGTAGTCCTGGTCTGGATCTTTGGGCTCAACGGCCACGGATCCAACGACAAATTTCCTTGGCAGGTTCCTGGTGTAGAATCATCTTCCAGGGTGAAATCCAGGTGAAAATTGGACACTCATTGCCCTCTGGGAATCAAAGGTAGCTGGGAGATCCCCTATAGATGGACGTTTGAATGGGAAAATCATCCATAGATGGTGGATTTTCCAATGTTCCAAGCATTTTGACAAGACAAACGCTATATAGTACAGCCGATAGATCCGATAGAATTTACCCCCCTCCATGCTTCGCACCAGAGCCCATAATCCACAGGTGTAAAAATCCTATGTCCCAGGTCGGTGTCCCAAAGCCAAAGAAGCAGACGAGTTCCACTTGCTTGTGATACCCCATGGTATGGGGAGCACGTGCTCCTCCAATTGCTGGATATTGCCACCATGTTTTTTATTTCACCCTATTTTCCCAGCATTTCCATTCAAAAAAGGCATCTCAATCCCCTTCACGACCTCCCTCCACGGCATTTTTCCGCATCTGTCGGCCCGTCGGCACGGGCGCTCAGGGCACCCGGGGTTTTTGTCGCACGGGCCAATCGCCCGCCGTGGAACCATGCACCCGGGCACCACAGAGCTTTCTAGGCGCAGGACTTCAGGCCTCTGATTTCATTGGATGTTCATCTGAAAAAAGTTTGGGGATAGGCCCAATGAGACCTACAAATCGGGTCACATGTAGACTAAATATAGAAAAAATGTCAATTTGAGTCCCAAACCAAAACGGTGGAATATATGCGGTTCCCGTCGCATTTTGGGGAATCTTTGACATCTCATAGATGTCTCCTCTGTGGATAGGTCTTTCCTGCTTGCTACATTGCCATGGCATGTCATCCTTCGCACAATCAACTGTAGGTCAACCCACAATCCTTGCAGTCCCGTGCTCGGTGCATCTGTGCGCGTGGGGACTGGGGGCCTCATCAACTGGGGGATTATACCTCCAGAATGGCTAAATTCAAACTAGGGAAACTGATGACAAGCCATGGGTTTGAGGAATTTCCCCGTTTTTTAACAAACCCATACCAGCTTGCCCCAGGATCCCCAAGGTTTGCACAGCTGGGTGTCAACAAACGGACAGCAATGTCACCCTGCTCCACTTGGCTGGTCTCAGGGTGTCGTTCCCACGGGGGCCAGCCTTAGTCCAAGCGTTGAAAGGTGTGGCAAATTGGCAAATCTATCACGGGCAGCCTGGATGTGTAAATGGTTGAATGCTTTATGGGTATTCTCTGGCAACTCAAACATCAGCTGGAAATCCCAACTTGAAATGGGAAAATGTTTGGAGAAGAATCTATAAAGAGGATATTTTCTATGGCTAACTTGAATTGCTGGTGGGTATAGCATTGTGTAGGTGATAATTTATGACCATCATCCCAGTTTGTGGTAACCTTAAGGGCTGGTGGCATATCCCGTTTCCACGACATCTGACCCTCTGGGAATCCACTTTCATTATCTTCCATTACCATCCATTACCACCTATTCAGCTCAAACTTCTTTGCTAAACTACATTTGACAGTTCCAAAGCCTCGGCTTCTATGGCTTTGTCTTAACGTACTCTAAGTACTCGGAGTAAAATTCGGAGTCCAATGTATCCCCATTTTTGGGCCTACATGGGCCATGGCTTCCAGTTCGCAAGACTGTGAAATTGCCGGCTATACAGGAAGGGGCCCCTAGTTATAAGTTGGTTTATAATCCCATCAAACATTTTTAACCCGAGTTGACCTACTTGTTTGCGTCAACTTTGCTAACTACGGGGCCCCTTCCTGTACCCCATGATGATTGTTTTTTGTTCCCCCCCTGTTGCTGAAACTTCAGCCGGGTGGCTAGAGACCAGCGGAGGCACTGCTCGCCCGAGCGTTGGTCGAGGCGAAAATGCCTCAAAGGAGATCTAGCCGTGCTGGGGCGAACACCGCTGGTGATGGTGAGTCCACTCGGTCGTACATACATGTAATATATACTGTATATATATAGTATATATTAATATAATATATATATATATATTGTATATTATATACGTATCATTTGTATATATCATACGTATGTACATCATACGCATCATACGGATGTATCTCATACGTATACATAAAAATCCTCTCCGGGGCAGACCTTCGCCCAAAGTTTAATTGCGGGTCTAGTTACGTTGTGAGTTGTTCAGGATATAGTTCAGATTGTTTTAGGGTTTGCTTAGGGTTGGTTTAGATTTTCTTTAGGGTGTGTTTAGTTACTTTTCGTGATATTTAGAGTTGTTTGAGGGTTTGCTCACGGTTGTTTTAGGGTCTATTTAGGGTTATTTATGGTTGATTTAGGGTTGGTTTAGGGTTGGTTTAGAGTTTATTTAGGGTTATGTTATTTTGGTGTCCTTTCAAAGTCTTGCGCTGTGTTGAGGTCTCAGTTAACGGCTCAAAACACTTCAAATTACGGAGGATATCTTTAAGATAGGCTTCAAAAGGTGATTTTGGCACGGTCTTAGGTAAGCGCAAAAATGCAATGAGACGCAGGTAATATCAATATTTTGCATGCTCGCAGTGTGCGAAAAATACGCACGGAAACAACACAGCAGATGGCAGTCCCGAATGGAATTCCGTGGATTTCGGGCAAACGTCAGCCCCCTAGCGATATAATCATATAAATAAGTATTATGTGTAATGCATAAGATGATATACTGTAATTTATATATGTTTGATTATGTTTGTGTAAAGAAAAATTTGTATTTATGTGTCTGTATAATATATACATAAATATCACATACATATGTAAGAATTATTAATGTATATTAATGTAATCATATACATTTACAATCCATATATAAAAATACTTAGAAATTACAAATGATTATAAGAACAGCTACCGGCATCGCCCTTCTTAGTGAGATGATGAGCCTTTTTAGCCTACTTGAAGACAACGACGACCCGATTTAGCCCCTGGAAGTGGCCCATCTCCTAAGCCACCCATTTTCCTGGGAATGGTAACCATACCACCAAACAAAAAATGGTGATGACTGGGGGATGGTAAACATGACATCGTTTTACCCACATGACCCCCCCTTTCTGGGCAAATCAGGGCAAATCCATATTTCATGCAAGGTATGCTCCTCTAGTCACAGATGTCACAGCCGCCCAGCATGCTCTTTCGGTGAACTTCCGACCGTTTCTCGTGCTCGAGGCACGATTCGGTTTTTGGATGTTTGGTCTGGCACGCTTTGAGGCCGGTAAAAGCCATCGCTACGGATCAGACCTGACTCCTAAATGTGCCAGGCCCAGCAGACATGTTGTCGGCAACCCCAGCTGGGCAGGCTCTGAACGAAATGGCGCTAAAGGCCCTGTACATGAGCTCGTAGTTGAGCCCGGAAACGGTTCAGAAAAGTTTCCGGAATTCATAATTAGAAATACTCACCTTCGACACACCGATCGTGTGTCCTCCCCAAGCCCCCCAAAGGCGGCTGTCGTTAACGCAATTTGGGCGAGCCAAACTGCCAACGGATTCACTCAGTGCAACTATTTCACCTCAGGTGACGGGAAGTGGCTCGGGATTTCCAGGAACAGAAACTTGAGGCATTGCCAGGCATGAACTGTGATAAACCAACAGCAAACCCCAAGTCTTTGGGGTCTGTAAAGTATTGAAATAGCTATATACTGTTGTGTAATCATTATAGTTTATTATGGGATTGATCCCTGTCGCAAGATTTGGTTGCCTGGTGGCCTGGTGGTTCCAGAAAAAATCAAGGCCAGCTCAGTTTAACATGAGTCAATGTTGGATGCCCAAAAATCGGATAACACTTGATGACAGATTGGAATCCGAAAACAAACAAATGACCGGCCAAACCCATCCCCGAATGCAATTTCCCTAGCATTGTTTGGTTGGTGCAGACCGTATCATCTCAGTACAAGCCTGAACGAGTATTCCTAGGTAGAAACGTGCATCAAGAAACAGTCCTGGTCCTCCACACTTTTCAATTTGCAGCTACAGTTAGGTTGAAAAAAAACAACGCCTTGGGGTACACAGCTGGGTAATCAAACGATATCGAAGATATACGACAAATGAGCAAGGTCGAAATGCCCCTAGCCAGTTCTTGAGCTCATCTGATCACCATTTTTGGGTTTCACCATTTGTTTTTGGTTTTTGGTTTTCTCGGGTCCATACCCTAGTAATTCAACATAGCTATGGAAAATCGCTATTTCCAAGTATTTCCAATAGGTCCAATAGGTCCAATAGGTAAATCATCGAACTAAAGGGATCTAAATGAGCCATGGCCAGTCATCCACCACCCAACGGTTTTGCCATTTCCAAGTGGCAGACATGGGCGAAGCATCCGGCTCTTCGACCCGCTGCCTCTTTTGACCCTTGCGCACCTGGAAGTCCCAGTCCGCCTGCAGAGAGCGAACGTGTGGGAATCCACAAACCTGCAAGTTTGGAACGTCTCTACTCCACCAGGAAAAAAGATTGTGAATTTGTTACCAGATGACCATTTTTTCTGGTCGCAGGTCGGGTTGAAAAATGAACATTCGTTAAAACCACCTATCAGACCACAATCACTGCAAACATGGTGCCCAAATGGCCCACAACATCCAATGCCAGAGGGAGCTTGCTGCCTGACAATACAGGATGTCATCCGACTTACACAAGAAAAAAAAGCATGGTACCCGGCTGAATTTAAATGACTCGATGTATACTGTGTGACTATGTGACTATGTATATATATATATATATACACATTTACACATATACGTATGCGTGTATACATATATATATAGAGAGAGAGAGAGGCCCCGCCCTTTCGGCATTCCCCCACGGAGAGTGCACCTTGCCATTGCGCATCTGTCGATCCACGTTCACCACACTGCCAGGGGTCAAAGTGTCGTCCAAGATCATGGTGCTTAGCCTGCCGTATCCGCAGCTGCTGGGTGGTTGGTGATGCAGCCGTTGAGGAACTACCTGCAACGGTGTCCTCAAAAATGACTTTAAAAAAAAAAAAAAAACTTATAAATGGAGGTTTGTAGCTGGGAATATCATCTATAAATGGCGGATGTGTTTCTTTTCCGTTGCTATGTTTGATTTCCGGAGGGTAAGTAGCAAGGTGGGATGTTCATCTTTCAAAACCGGCATGGGATGCCAATCCTTCACCTCCTGAGAATCATCCAGCCTCCACAGACTCAAAAAAGTCGTTCGAAAGAACGGATTGGATATCGGATATCCCCTAGCCAAAAATCTTCAAATCTTGGAGATAAAAATGGCTGATTTGTCCACCTCAGCCGTTCAACACGCCTTGAATAGTTCGGATATGTTTTGAATCTTTCAAGTTGGGTTCCACATGTGATGAACCCTCCAAATGTGATGAACTTTGAAATGTTTAAAGAAACATCCAAAAAAACACCATGCAATACACAACAAAGTCCCAGTTGACAATTGCTGCACCTGGACACCAGATGTCGTTCCAGGTATCGTTTCAAAGGCCGCGCGCCCAGTTCAGGGTCGTGCGCTTCCTGCTTCGATAGGGATGGGATGAGAAGATACGTGGATGATATACACGAAAGAGATCATGGTAGTGGGCCATAGGTTCTATGCTGGCTGCACCAGTTCAGAAACAATGGAGTTCCATCTTCGATCTCACATGGCAATCCTAGAAACCACTGATGGGTTTCCACCAATGTCGCTCTGGTATCAACATCTTGACACCTGGTCAAGCTCCAGATAGAGGTCATGTTTGACTTTAGCAGACCAGCAAAAGAAAACAAAATAAAACATATTCCTCCATGAAGACGGGTACCAATTAGCCCATAAACATCGGTTTTCCCCACATCAAAAACGTCCCAATCCTTGTGGCACCTGACTTGACCCTGGGTAGCAGCTTCGGGTTCCCCATCCTTCAAGACAAAGTCGATGGCCGCGTCTGTGACCTCACCCAGTTCCACGGGGAACTTGAAGCACCGAATATATACAATATCTACTTAATATATATATATACATATATATATATATATACATATATATATACATAATATTATAGCATGCTTTATGTACTGACTGTATATGTAAATAGTGTATGCATACCCATGGTTTTCTACTATAGCCACCACCGCTCTTGTTGGGGACTCGGGCAGAACCACTCCCCGGTGCCCAAACGCAATGCCAAGCTACGTGCATTGTAACTTCCAGCTCTTCCAAACGCTTCAGGACATCCGCCAATTGCAGTCGCACCACCTGATGGCGAGGAGCGTGGAAATGTCTTGCTGAAAAAAAATACCACTACCCAAGACGTTCATAGGCAAGACTATGCCTTCACCTGCATAATATATGTATATATATATATATGTAAATGTATATATATGTCTCTATATATATATATGTCTCTATATATATATATGTCTATATATATATATATGTATGTATATACAGTATGTTTCTGTGTGCATGATCCATAGAATAACACTAATAATAATGGTCACTCAGACAAAAAGAACACAATAACGATAATGACAATGACAGCAATGATAACAATCATCATCATCATCGTCATCATCATCATCATCATCATCATCATCATCATCCTATTCCTCGTCGTCATCATCATCATCATCATCATCCTCATCCTCATCATCATCATCATCATTGTCGTCGTCGTCATCATCATCATAATCGTCGGCGTCGGCGTCGTCATCATCATCATCATCACCATCATCATCACCAACTATCACCATCACCGATCATCACCATCCCCCACCTGCCGTAGGAGGGGTCCCGTCAACGGCTGGAAGACCACGATGTCATCCAGGCGATTCAACAGCTCCGGCCGCAAGGTGCTGCGGATGCTCTGCAGCACCAGCTCCTGGGACCCGGTGAGGGCAGAAACAGGAAGAAACAGGGCAAAAACGATGGTAGAAACATGTAGAAACCATCTTGGTACCAAATATGGATAATCGTTTTTTTTAATGTTTTGTCTAAAACAAAAGGTTTTTCAAACCGGTGAGGTCGCTGGATTGCCAGGGCGCCTTGGCCCTCTCCAGTTCGAGCGCGCTGCCTGAGAAGTTTGGGGGATGGCATATATCTATACAAAATATTACGCAAACATATATGGATATACATGTGTATTTATATTTATATGTATATATATAGTATATATATACATATATATACATATATATACATATATATATATATATGTACATATGTATATATGTATATATTTATTTTTTTATGTGTGTATATGTATATATATATATATTTATATGTGTATATGTACATATATATGTATGTGTATATATATATGTATATATATATATATATATGTATATATGTATATATGTATATATGTATATATGTATATATGTATATATGTGTATATGTGTATATGTGTATATGTATATGTGTATATATGTATATATGTATATATGTATATATGTATATATGTATATATGTATATATGTATATATGTATATATGTATATATGTATATATGTCTATATGTATATATGTATATATGTATATATGTTCATGAACTTCCACACTACCCCTCCCCGTACCCCCTCCTGGGTAAAACATGTAATTCAAAGTTCAACTCTCAGAATAATTATGATGGCTTTTGTTTGATCGGCACAATTTGTATGAATCCTTATTAGACATCAAACTAACTTAATCAACTATTAGGCATCTAATAAGCATTCACCAAAAAGCTGATTCCCACAATGGTGTATAAAACCTTATTAGGCATCTATTAATGCAAAATGTCCTTAGTAGCACCCTAATAAGATTTCATACAAAAAAAGAAGTTGTATAAGAATTATTAGCATGCTAATAAGGCATTTGTTCATTATTAACATACTAATAATGATTCATACAAAACACCAAAATCAATCCTTATTGGGCTACGAAACATAATCCATTTTAGTTTGTATCCCTTCAATTTTCTGGATTAGTAGCCTCATAAGAAACCAATAAATTCATGGATACAAACCGATTTTCTTATTTACTATCTAAAAATCTTGTCAGGGGGTACGGGGAGGGGTAGTGTGGAAGTTCATGATATGTATATCCAACATAACAATATCTAGATATGTCAAATATGTGTAGATATGTTTGATATGTATTGTATGGATATTTATGTATATATATATCCATATATCATTGTGGTCCATATTCTATAGATACTGTGTATAATTACTGTATATTGCATGTTTTTATATATCGTAATATATCTGACAAAATCTAGATATGTTTGATATAGGATCAGAGCCACAGTAGCCTCTGGTCAACACACCTGACAATGGACCCTCTTGCTTATTCAACAAAGACCTCCTTACCAATGTTTAGGTTACCCTCCTGTAAACTACCATCGACATAGAAAACCTACAGGGCTAGAGCTAGACTCTGGTAAACTAACATAACTATGGAAAATCACCATTTTTAATGGGAAAATCCACTATAAATGGCAATTTTCAATAGCTATGTTAAATTACCAGAGGGTAGATAGAAAAAAGGTGCCTTGCCTTTGCTCAGCGCGCGCATCAAGTGCTCCGAGCCCAGATTGGAGGTCAAAATCACCACAGAGTTGCCTGGCTCCCAGCTGGTGAACCCATGAACCCCAGCTCCAAATCCCAAGCGAAAGAGGGGAACCCACAAAATCCAACAAAATCCCGTGCTCATGTTTCATGGAACCCGGAAGATTCAGGAAGATTCATCTAAATCTTAAATACACCGGTTCGTTTTGCAGGCGAAACATGAAGAAAAAGTCTGGCTTGGGGGCTTGGGGAAAAAAAAGCTGCCATTTTAGGACAGATTAAAATGCACAACTGAATCCGGAGGCTGTGATTTCGGTCCCGTGGTTCTCCCCTTGGTCGTTTTCCCAGTCTTATCCCAGGTCTCAGTGGTGATATTCCCAGTGTGCGTAAGTATCATAGTCCATGTCTTGCAGCTATGCGTATTTCCCGCTATGGATCAGAAACTGTGTACCCCATTAATGTCATGTAACTTCACGCTTTTTTGCTCAAAAATCGACGGAAAGAATCCTACCGTGTTTGACCCTGCTGCCGTTGTTCAAACCCGCCGGCTGCCAAGCGGCTGCAGTCCACCGTTCGTCCCTGCGAGTCGGTGATGCGGCCATCATCCAACAGTTGGAGCAGCACGTTGAGCACCTGCGGATGTGCCTTTTCCATTTCATCGAAGAGCACCACGCTGTAGGGATGCCGCCTAAAAAGAGAAGATGGAGCCGGCTTTCAGCTCACCCGAAAGGTGTTGGCCAGTTTCATGATGTAATACATATATATATACACAAAATATATATATACATACACAAATATATATTAATATATATATAGAGATACATGTATACATACATATATATACTACATATATATATATATACATATATATATATACATATATATATACATATAATCATATATATATACATATATATATATATACATATATAAACATAAACATATATATGTGTGTGTGGCAGGTGTGTGTGTGTGTGGCAGGTGTGTGTGTGTGTGCATTTTGTCTTGTATCCCGCTTCTGTTGGTTTGATCATCTACCTGGCTCTTCCAACCCAGGGGCTCTTCCCCATCCCTCGCGCACCTGAGGGCTTCAGTGAGTTGTCCACCCTGCTCGTGTCCCACGTATCCAGGGGGAGCACCGATCAAACGCGACACCGCGTGTTGTTCCATGTATTCCGACATGTCAAAGCGCACTATGCCTCAGGTGGAATCAGTGGAATCATCAGAATCGTCAGATTACAACGACTTCACCTGATTTCCAGCGTCATCATATCCTGGGAAAGGTTTATCCAGCTTTATCCATGCTCATCTTCATCCATTTATGTCCGTCAACATCCATTGATTCAATTAATGTTAATCAATAATAATATCCGTTAATATTAATTTTTATCATTGGATATATCCATTCATTGCCCATTGGTTTCCTCGATTAATATGTATCAAACAACACCGTCTTGTAATTTAACATAGCATAACGTATACCGTATAGCTATTTTAAAAAAAAAAATCTATCTGGTTTATTTACCAATTAAAACTGGTGATTTTCCAGTTCGCTATGTTAGTTTACCAGAGGGTGCATCGGCAGGTCAACCTGTAGGTCAACCGGTCAACTTGTGCCACGGCACGGTGTTCGTTGTCGAAGAGCTCCGCGGCCAGGGCTTTGGCCAATTCGGTCTTGCCCACCCCTGTGGGCCCAGCGAAGAGGAAGGAGCCTCGTTTGCGGGGAAGTTGGAGATCATCCACCCCCTTTTTTAGGGGAGGCTGGAATCTTGGAAAATGGGGAGCTGAACTGTAAAAAAACGTGTTTTTGAAGAAAAGTAAGAAGTTGGCCAACAATTTAAATGGATTCAAGATGATTTAACCAATTGAAACTTTCTTATTTCAGCCAACAATAACACAGATAGTAAGGATATGTAAGGATACTAATCAGAAAATGGTGCATTCCAACAAAAATAGGGGAGGGTTGACTGAGAAAATGTCAGAAAATCCATAGAAAACCCATGGGAAACCCATAGAAAACCTACCTCCAACCCTCCAAGCCATCCCACCTGTGGGCTGTGTACGCCGCGACAGCCGCGCGGCGCTGCGCAGCACTGCACGACTCACGGCCTCGGCCGCTTCCTTAGGCGTCCAAGTGGATGAAGTGGATGGGAGATTGGATGGGATGGCAATTCTCCCAACTATTGGAGAATTGGATCATAATAATCTAACAATAATCTAACAATAATCTAACAATAATCTAACAATAATCTAACAATAATCTAACAAGTGCTATTATCCAATTGGATCGGATATTGATGTTGGATCATCTTCAATGATCTAGCAATAATTATCCAATTGGATATTGTTGTCATATGTTGGATAAGATCATTGAGGATCTTATAATGATCTTATCCAGATATTGGAGGATATCTTTAGATGATGATATCCAATAGAACTGGGGATAGAGGACCCTTCCATTATTAAGGATATGATCCAACTGATAATTAGAGGACAATCATCCAATATCAATGAGGCTATTATCCTAATTGTTCAATAGTTATCAAGATATCCAATAATGATAATCTTGAGTTATATATATATATATCATCCAATAAATTTGGACAATCCATCTGAAGCATACTGAAGCCACATATTTATGTATCATAGATTGGATGATAATCGTGGATATTCTATAGGATTATGATAGGATGTGTCTGGATATCCTGAAGTCCATCCCAGAAAGTGTCGATCATCCTATCATTGACCTCTGGCTTTGTCGGAAATTCTGGGGCCAGGCAGCATTTGGATGCGCGCCGAGAGAACCATGTTCATCAGGAAAATAGTGATGAAATATATTATATTACTAATAGATACTAATAGTGATTACTGAGCTGATTTCTGCCCTACTTGGGATGATTTCTGATTGGGATGATTTTATGGTTGCCCCGAAATGGTGGACAATTGGGGATGATTCATTATTGTAGGTCCCACATTAATTATATTTAAAGATAAGTTGGGATGTAAAATCTTGCCCAGCACTGGAGATGCCAAGTTTCTTCTTGGCCAACCACACGCTTCTTTAGCTCGCATTCCAAGTGCAGCAAACGCGCCTGGCTGAGCAGGACATGGTGACCATCAGCCCGCTCCAAAAGGTACCTACCATCGCAAACCTGAAGTTTGGAAGACTAAACTTTGGCCCAAAAAATGTTGGCTCCAAAACTCACAAACATTGCAACATAGAACCCAAATCAAAAAATTGCGGCACATCCTCAAGACCCCCTGAAACATTCTCAGATGAAACATCCACATCAAACCAGATTCCACATTTCGAAACACAAAATCCTTCCATTCAATGTCCCTCTCAAACAGGTAACCCATGGTAACCTTCCACCTTTTCCCGGACCCCCCACCGGCCACCGGGCCGGGGAATCTCCGCCTTCTCCCCCTGGGTCAGCTTGGACACGGGGATCCCCGTCCAACGTGCCACGACCTCGGCGATGTGCTGCGGCGTCACGGTCTCCACCAACAACGGCGACTCGGTGGACTCTTCGTACCTCGGTAAAAAAAAGTGATACCCTCTGGTAATTTAACATAGCTATTGAAAATCACCATTTTCAATGGGAAAATCCACTATTAATGGTCATTTTCAATAGCTACGTTAAATTACCAGAGGGTACCAACCAGGAGGATCTGAAAAAACAATCTGTAATACATCTGAGTACATCTCAATTCATGTACTAAGTCTTAGTGAATCTTGTTTCGTCTTAATATATCTTATTACATCTGGCTAGATCATAATACAACTGAATACATCCTCATGCAAGCAATGCGTATACACATATCAACTAGTGAAGATAACTTTTGCAAAGTATCAACTAATGAGTTAACGGTATTGGCTACCTAGGGATATTGTATAGCTGCTAGTAACCAAACAAAGATTGCCGGAAAGGATGGGGCACCAAACTTGTGGATACAGAAACTTCGCAAAGCAAATGTGGAGATGTTTGAAAGTGACATGTTTATTCACGCTGCAAATGCATCCTCTCAAGGGTGGTACAGTGGTAGATTACTGAATAAAGCATTGACAAACGTGTTCTCCTTCTTAAAAGGAGAGTCAGAGTGTGGAAAAAATCTGGCTAAGGAAAGCAACACTTCCCAAAGTACGTCGATGGTCCCATCCCAACATAATCAATTCCTATTGTCTTAAAGATACATACATACATGCATATATATATATACCACATCATATATTCATGTTTTATTATATTGTATTACATTGTCTTATATCATATCATATATTTAATATAAAAGAATATAATACCATATCATATCATATCATATCATATCATATCATATATCGTGTGTTGGTATGTTGTTATATTATCTTATATCATATGATATTATATTTTGGTGTATTATATCATGTTATATTATGTTTTGTGATATATTGTATTATATCTTACTACACTATATTATGTTATGCTATGTTGTATGACATTATATTATATTATCTTATCTTGTATTATATAACAACTCTTTAAGACCATGAGAGCAGCAATAGAAATGTGCATCGGAGCCGGACGCACCTTTTGTAAACGTTGGCCATGAGTGTGACTCACTCAGCTAGCTAGGATCACTTTTGAAGTGTCCCACTCTGGCTGAGTCAAACATGTGCTTCCCTCCCCTTTTGAGTTAGGAGAGGGCGGGTGGGGATTTCAAAATCACACCCTTGAGCCAAAATGGCCCCAGGCCAAGCTGGTTCAAGGGTTTCCCTCCCACAAACACCCCTCTCATGTCATTTAGTTGTTACAACAACAGTTTCACAGTTTCACCCAACAACTCTTTAAGACCATGAGAGCAGCAATAGAAATGTGCATCGGAGCCGGACGCACCTTTTGTAAACGTTGGCCATGAGTGTGACTCACTCAGCTAGCTAGGATCACTTTTGAAGTGTCCCACTCTGGCTGAGTCAAACATGTGCTTGATTGAGTCCATGATGCCAACCTGGTCCATTCTGCGTTCGAGCGCATTATGACTCCGATGAGGATGATGAAGAGGTAGAGGGCTCATCATCCAATTTCTGTTGCTTGGGCTTGAAACATTTGTTGCATTCTGGCTTGTCTGGGTCCGCTTGACTTGCAAGTGCATAGTCTGCGTGACCACGTGCAAAATACCAGTTGCATTGGGTGCGCCATAGGTAGTGAGGACGCGTTGGTCCACTACAGGCTACCTTGTGGATCTTGCCGTAGGCAGATCTGTTAATTACAAACTCCACTGAAGCTGGCTGCTCCGATTGCGGAGCAATATCCACTGCAGCCTCGCAGTCCGCAAGGCAGTCCACGGACTGGTTCCGTAAGGAAACTGCTGCGGCTGGCGGGGAACAATTTTGCGCCTGGTTGAGGATCGCAGAAAGTTCCGCCCGGGCTGCTGCTAAAGAAGTTGTGAGAGAAGCTTCTTTTGCCAAGGAATGCAGCTGCTGAAGTGGAGCGTCGCGGATATATATCCTGAAGCACTCTGAACCCCAGCGCCCAAATAGCTGGATCCTCCAGAGTTCAATCTGGGTCTGTGCCAGGTACACTGCGCCAGTTGCCCGGGCGCTGTGTCCGGTGAATCTCCTTGCCCCAGTGTCTGTGTGAGTAGGAAGATTCAGCTGCTGTGCCATGCATTGCATGGTGTCGGCCCATCCGCATTTGGATGACTGCTCACCTGTGGCTGATGGGAAAACCCAGCGATCGCTGATAGCTCCCACTGCCTCTAGGTGCTCCACCATGGCATGGTATGGACACTCTGGCTGCCGGGCATTCTGTTCGCAATTACAAGAATGCGTTCGAGTTGCGCCCAGGGCTTGCCAATCCGCCTTACTGGATGGAAGCTTCCAGTGGATAAGTCTTTGGACCTTGTCGATTTCGATGTGCGACCTCTCTGCCGAGCTTGCCTCGATTTCACGAAGGAGCCACCATGATGCCAACATGACGGACCTCATCGGGAAAATTGGTCCTCCAGGAGCTGCTGGGTCCTTGTGAACTTTCAGCTTCGCTAGCTCGATCATCGGCAAAGGTTGCGCCTGTTTGGCTGGCCCTCGGCCTCTTTGGCACGCCCTTCTGGCTTGCCTAGAGGCCTGGGCAAGCTGTGCTGTCCAATCCAGTCCTCTCTCAATGTGTATCTGCTTGGCTGTGTCCATGTATAGCTCTGCTGATCTATAGCCGGCCATGTCCATCGCTCCCATCACCGTGTTGATGAGGTCCGGGGAAAGACGGAACGGGTCTGAGAAACCCGCCGCCCTGGCCAAGGCAGACCACGTTGATTTCCTTGACTCATAGGGGCCTCTGGATGTATCTGCCTTTGCTCTCTTTGTGATGTGTTCTGCACACCTTTCCGGACCTGTGGATGCGTGCCTTATGGCGTCGTTTAGCGAGCCCCTAGCGTAAGCCTTGACACCTGGCTGTGCAAATGGTGCGGCTGCTTCGGGATGCCCGGGGTCGACGGCCCCATAGACGGGCCCCTCCTGCAATGGGCGTAGCCCTGCAGAATGGGTGGCTGGTTTTGCCTGGGGTATTCCCTGGCCCAGCCAAAACCGTGGACCTAGACTACGCTTCATTTCGAGCCCAAAACTCATGTGTTACCTACCCAAGAAAACATGCAGTGCACAGCCTCAGCCCTTATGTGAAAACCTATGCCCCCAAACCACTTTTCCCCCCTTTGAAAGATCTGGCATTACCCTTTGGTAAATGCCAAAACGAAGAATCCACTTGGATGGGTATGCGTGATGCAGCCCCCAGGTCTTCGTGCGGAAAACATGGTGGGGTAGGTTCAAACTGCCGGCTCAATGCATCTGCTACTTTATTGAGTTTGGTGTTCAGGTGTTGAAGGATTGTGAACTCGTATATTCCCTTCGCCTGATCTAAAGCTATTTCTCTGGCGATCATAGCCATCCCTGGCGACTTGGCCTTGCCTTTTGCTAACATGTGGAGGGCCGATATGTTGTCAGACTTGACACGAATGATGGACCCAAGTGGAAACCTTATCAGCCATGTCCTTGCGGCTAGTAATAGGCACAGGGATTCCCAAAGCGCCATGTGGCTGGGGCCCCCTGGTTGGGCACCAGTACGAACGATGAACTCTTGGGGTATGATTGTGCTGAAGAACTCGACTGGTCTGTCCCCAACTATCATAATAGCCCCCAAGCCTCTGGTTGATGCGTCCGTAATAATAATGCATTTTGTCTCTTGTCTGAATGCCCTCACTACCCTGGTGAACGGAGCTGCCTTTTCTCCCAGCAAGGCGTCTATCCACTGTAAGGCTATCCCAATGCGGCGCACATGGACAACATTTCTGGTCTGCTTCGGACCGTCATTCGTTGCCAGTGCAGCCCACAGGGAGTTCAAGAAAGGTCTCATGAGAGGGACCAATCCCGCCACGAAGGACAACGCGCCTGCTAGACTTTGTAGCTGTCTTCGTCCAATGACCGGCCTCCTCAGGTAGGTCTGGACTTTTGATTTCAGCTCAGCAACTTTGTCTTCAGGTATAGTTACAGATATGGTGTGGTTATCATGATCTGCTTTTATAACGGCTCCTATCCACTTCACCTCTGTTCCTGAATCAGACTTTTCCAGTTTGAGTGGGTACCCGGCTATTTGTGACCAGAGCAGGGAGATTCCCACCCTTTCCTTGTGATAGGGGTCCGTGCAGTCAAACGTGAATAACGGGTCGTCCACATACGTTTGCAGTCTGATGTCAGGGTTGATAGAGGCAAGGGACCTTCCGAACCATGCTGCATATCTGCCCCATAAAGTTGGAGATGAAACTGAACCGAAAACCAGGACATCATAAACCACAATTTTCAGTGTGCCAGTTTTGTCCCTGAATGCAGCTGAAGTGAATGCTCTGTCTTTACCCGATGGAATGTTGTGGAAGGCATCGCGGATGTCCACTGCTAGAAACGCTGGCTTCCCCCCCTTTCGGAAAATTTCCAAAGCGTCCTCAATGGCGTCGGTGACCCTCGGCAGTAACACCCTTTCGCCTTGGGAGCATAGCTTGTTTGTGCCGCTCTCCCTCATGTCCCAAATAATCCGTGCCTTCCTAATCACTCCCTCAGGTGTTTGTTTCTCCTTGACCAACAGACCCAGTTTGTTTAATACGGGTTTTATTCCGATTTCCCTTTCCGCAGCAGCCATGTTGGGGTAGAAAGAACAGAAACCTTTAGATGCAGCCTCATCAATAAGTTTGTGTAGATCTTCTTCCCACTCGACGGCAGATGGATGGTTATCCCAGTTTTCGAATGACCTTTGTAATTGTTCTGCTGCCTCAGCTTCCCATTCAACCTCCTTAACCACGGGGAATATGCCCGTACAAGGAATGGGTTCGGTGAAGCCTAGGGGAGCGCCCGACCTCAACCACTGCGCCAGCACCGGGGAATCCGGGTCCCCACTTATTCTTCCCCAAGCATCAAAAATCTGAGGTTGGAGTGGCGTGCATGCTTTTGCAGTACTAGGTTGAAAGGTTCCTGGGGACAACGAACATACCAGTTGCCTAAGCTTGTCAATAAGCTGAGCTGAAATCGGAGCTGCCTGCCCACCCGTTAAAATTTGGTCGACTAGCGATTTGACAGAGGGGTGAGATGTTGCTTGCTTGAGAAGCTTGAAAACGGCCCTGCCTGCCATGTCGGATTTTGGGATCCTCCTGATGGACTTTAGCGGGTTGCGCATCCCCCCAATGGCATCGGCATTCTCAATCTCCCTCTGTCTCATCGCTTGGTCCTCTAAGACTGGTCCTGTTGGTCCGGCACTCACGCCTCACTTCGCTGCCTTCCTGAGACTCCCCTCGCGATGCTTCATCACGCGGGGAAGGTCCGCCTTCTCCATCGCCTCTGCCAAGGCCTTGTTCAAGGCTGGCGGGTACTCACCCAGAGCTTTGGATGCTCGCTCCTTTTCTCCTCTGACTGTCCTCCACCTCTGGACCAAGGACTCGTGTGGTGAAACGTAGGTCTCTCCGTTTGGTCTGGTCCATTCCTTCGGAGGATGGTTGCACCTCCTCCCCTTGATTTGTCCAAGGGGAAGGGAGTCCGTCTGAATCCTTGTGGGCTTCGTTGTTTCTGCTCCAAATTGGCATTGGTCGAACAACGCCTTTTCCACCAGCGCGTGACCAGTCATCTCCTTGAACCAGCTCGTTTTCCACATGTCGAGTTTCTCCTTTTGGTCTGGATTTTCTATCCAGTAGGCCGCTCTGATGCGCCTCACTTCTCTCGTCACGTGTGTGGAGAATTCGATGAGATGATTTGCCTCCTTGAGCTGTTTTCTCTCCTCTGAGGAAAGGCTTTTAAGAGGCAGCCCATCCGGATGTTGTAGGGACCTGAGTGGTCTCGGGCCCGGCGGATTCTCCCTCAGTAGGGACACCGTTTCGCAAGGTGTAGCCATGCCCACTACGTCGAAAACACCAGCCCTGATATCCGCGAAGATCTTGCGACACACCTCCGTGTCCAGAAGGTCTGCCGCAGTCGGCCCCTGCTTGTCGACCACCACCACTATCCATCCCATGTGATGAAGATAGGAGGTAAGGTCTCCATCCCTCGGGCGCCCTGAGAAGAGCAGGAGGGCCCTGGGCCTGTCGTCCCACAGCTGCGGGTCCAGGTTGGTGGCCCCATACTTGTAGTCCACGTACAGCGGCATTGATGGGATCTTCTCTCTCCCTGCTTGTACCGTAGTGGATGATGATGTGGACGATGAGCTGGAGTCACTTGAACTTCCGGGTTCTTCCTCCTCTCTTGGGTTTGGTGCCTTCCGGTCTCTGTCTTGCCTCGGCCTCTTGTGGTGTGAAGCGGCTTCATTCTCTGGGCTCGCCCTTTTCGGGGCAGCTTCTAACCTGGGTCTCTTCACCGCCGGCCGATGAGTGCCTCCAGGGGACCTGGAAGGGGAAACTGGGCGATCCCTCCTGTCCCTGACTGGAAAGGCCTCATGTGGCCTCTTCCTTCGTGGCAGCGGTGGCCGCGTGTCTTTCGGCTGGGCCTCTCTGTTTGGAGTCAGCTTGATCCCTAACTTTCAGTTGGGCCCCTTGCAGTCTTTGGCCATGTGGGGGCCTAGACACTTGTCACATTGATGTGAACGATTGTTCTCACATCGTGACTGCGGCTTCCCGTTTCCGCAGGCGCCTCGGTTGTACTTCTGGCAGATCTGGATCCCTTTTCGGTTCAAGGAATACCTTGACTGTTCTGCGTCCCAACGTGATCTGTCCTCACCTGTGTACTTGCGCTTGGCCTTCTTCTTCTGCGTGCCTTCTGGCTGCCGAGACTTGCGCTTCTGTGGGCGACCCTCTTGAGAGCTGCTCTCTTCAGGTGCCAGCTGTTTGTTGCGGGCCAGAAGGAGCGTGGCTGGCGTCGCCACTTCTTTGGACCAAAAGTCCGACTCCCTGACCGTTGCCGCAAAGACTGAGCTCCATGGAGAGGCCCTAGTGTACCCATACTTTGGGTCCTCATCCAGGGCTCTGCGGATCCGCTCTTGGAACTCACTTCTCATCCTGACGTCTGCACGGTATATGATGCCCCATGCTTCCTGTCCGAACTGCGCATGGAGGTCCTTTATGTGTTCTAGGTAGCCCTCCAGTCTCTCGGCATCTGCAGCCTCCAACAAGAGCATAGCCACCTTGTAGGTCTTGAAGCTCTTCTCCCATTGTTGAAGAGTAGCCGGACCTGGGCTCTCTTTCTTCGACCACTCCCCAGTCGCCGCATTCAGGGTGTAGGAGGAGAACACACTCCTGCGCAGCGACCGGATGGCGTGTGGCCCGAAGATTGACATGTCTATGTACGGCAGAGCTCCACTGGTAAGAAGCTGTTTGATTGCTGATATTTGATCAGCGCTGGGTTCCACGTCTGCTGACGGGACATCGCCGAACTTGGACTTGTACTTGGAGAACATCTCTGCAATTTCTTCTTGGCCCAATTGCAGGATCTCTGCATCGAGTGTGGGATCTACGATGCTACTCAGTTTAAGCTTTCTTGTTGGGGATGATGGACCTTGTCCCCCTCCAGTGCCTGGGAATGGGGCCGCTCCCACAGTCGGCTGTGGAGGGCCTGCACCACCAGGTCCATCTGGATTGACCTTGAGCCTCAGGAATACCACCCGGCGAAAGATCTCGACCCGTGAAAATTCCACAGGGGTCAAGTCTCGCTCGGCCTCTGTACCATCAGCTTGAGGCTCTTTGATCGTGAGGCTGGCCACCACCGTATCCCACGTAGGACGGGCAATGAACACCAGGTCCCGCAGCTTGGACGGTTTGCCCAACTTCTCCATGAGATGGTCGTGGACCGCACCGGTCGTGCCTGCCCAGTCGGCTGCATTCTCCAAGGTGTTGAGGTTATTGAGTCCTCTTCGGTTGGATCCATGGTATACCGGACCTTCACTCCACGACACCTGTCTCGAGACTGGGCCTTGCGGGCTTGCCTTGGGCCCGGGAGTGGCTACCCTGCGCCTCCTTTGGTTTGGCCTAGGAGGGCTTTGCACAGAAGGTAGCTGATGATGTGAGTAGTTGCGGAAAGCCAGTGCCACGGTTCTCCTTCGGTGGGTAAACCGTAAGGCTCGACTGACCAGCTGGTGCCAGCCAACCGTGCTCGGGTGACCGGCTGATCCTCGGGTGCGCAAATTCCAATGGCTGACCCACGAGTGGAGCTTCCAACCCAAGACGGCACCGACCAGGACAGCACCGCTAAGTGCTACCCCGATCACAGTCCAAACGCCCCCAAACCAAGGTTCGGATGGGCTTGAACTTGCCGTCAGGTCGGATCCCCCACTTAAGATCAAGGCCATGGGATTTCAAAATCACACCCTTGAGCCAAAATGGCCCCAGGCCAAGCTGGTTCAAGGGTTTCCCTCCCACAAACACCCCTCTCATGTCATTTAGTTGTTACAACAACAGTTTCACTGTTTCACCCAAAAATCATAATTATATTATATATCATGTTATATTATATTATAATTAAAATTATAAATATCTAATATTATATCAGATTATATTAGATTATATTATGTTATATCATAATTATATATCATAATTATATTATATCATATCATGTTATATCATATTATAATTATAGATATCTAATATTATATTATATTATATTATATTACATTACATTATATTCTATTATATTTTATCACATTACATTATAATATATCATATTATTTTATTATGTCATATTATTGTATTATATTATTGTATTATATGTACATAATATGTGTGTGTGTGTTAGATATTGAATTATCATGACCTCAGTTTTAGGCGATGGGAGGCAGGAACAGGACCCAGCTGCTCCCGCTTTCGCTTCTCCAGTTCTCGGATCCTCTGCATGACCCCCGGGATGGCATCGTAGCGCAAATCCGCCGCAGCATCCACATCATGACGGGCCTGTGAAAACGTATTGTGTATGTGAGGGATATAAGATGATATAAGATGATATAAGATGATAAAGGACAGGTATTGGAATGTACATTCATGTCTTATTCAATACGAATGCAAATATGCATTGTACATGTGCATATATCCATGCGATGCGATGCAGTGCGGAGCAGTCATAATATAGATTTTTCTACTGTATGTTTATGCAAATGAACCGAGTAGAAATAAATTTGAAAACGAAAACTCAATACATGGATAACCCCCTAGTCATATTTGGCTTCAATCGGCAGCCTCCATGAGGTCCAACTTCTGCTTCAACTCTTGGAGCTTGGACTTGGCTTTGCTGAGATCTTCAATGAGCTCGCGTTCCTGGAAGGACCAAAAACACAACGGGGCGTTCCTGGAAGGTTCTACAGCACTTTGAAAGTAGGACAAAAATGCAGACATTGCAATCAATCTGGGTAAATTATAATAATTCACTAACCTGAAATAAGGCCATTTTGGGATGATTCCCCTTACTAACAATGACTTACCCAGATCAATCACAAAATGCTCCTGCGGAGATTTGCATCAACATGTTCAATCCAGATGAGCCACCAAATTGGTGATGAACTTTCAAAAAATGAACTTTGACACCCAAATTTGACCCAGATTGGAGAGAATCCCTTGTGTTTACATACATATATGTATGTATGTAACGTGTATATATATATATAAAATTATATATAAGTATATACTATATATATATATATATGTAATTACATATACTTATATAATCTTATATATATATACATTCATAAAACATGATGCTACGAGTATGTATTAACACACATGTGTATATCATCTTCCAGTTACACCAGCTTTCCGCCGGGGGATCCGTCACCGAGTCACCGCGCCTGTTGGTATCTGGCCCTCAAAGGCGCCAGCTCCTCCCCGAGCGAGGACAGCTCCTTCCGCGCGTCCTGCAGACGCGCTTTCGAGGCATCATCCTGGCACTCGTTGTTCGAAAAAATGGCGAGAAAATTGATGGAACGCCTATGGTTTCCCGGTTTCCCAGAGGGACATGACTGGAAATGATATATATATATATTATATATATTATATATATTATATATATGTATATATATATATATATGTGTATATATATATATATATGTGTATATATATATATATGTGTATATATATATATGTATATATATATATACATATATTCTAGAGAGAGAGAGAGAGAATGAGAGAGATAGATATAGACTTCTATAAATGGTGGTGTTTCATGATTTTTTATTGGAATCTGCTGGAGGCTAACCCATATAAACTGATTGAAGATCTGGATTTAACCATCAAAAATTAGTTTTGCCGATGAATGACCCATGGGGGTGCATGCGGTATACCATATACCCCTTGGAACTCGTATACTATATATGATAATAATCCTTTGGAACTCGTGGTCCTCTTTTCTGAGACAAACCCGTCTGTTAATCTTCATTACATGACTGTGATTTGCTTCCATGGCCAACTTAGATGTTGTGGATGTACCGCAGTATCCCTGTGGAGTTTCAGTGAAATATATGAGTCAATTGGGATAAATTTAATCGTGCTTATGGATGGACAGTCATCATGAAAGCATTTGAAACCACCAACCAGGCACCTGGGTCAATTTGCTTATCAAACCATCCCGGAGTCCAACAATTCTGACTGATATCAAAGTACTGTGTATCCGTGATGTTGCTTCGCCAAGTTGATTTAGGGGATTTACTAAGTGTTGGTTCAGCATAGGTTCAGCCCATGTTTCTGTTCCGTATCTCACCCATTCTTTTCACTCTGTTGGTCATACCCGATCCATGATTTTACCCAAAAAATCTGGAGGCCAACAGAAACTTGTGGTTTTCCCCCTCTGTCGAAACCAGGGGTTTTGCCACCTTCCAAAAAGAAAAAGTACTGGTAAGTAAAAGTAACAGTAATAGCAATCGTAATACACACAGACCCCGAGGTTTGCCCAAGCCCAGAATAGCGTAAATACCAGGGAATTCTGTACGATGTTCAATTATGTTACTAGGGTGTTAACCAGAACATGTTGCTTCTACATATCATATGGAATTATCATACAGTCATTAGGGTTTCTTATAGGGTTTCAAGAAAATATCAAAATCCCCCGTCCCCATGGAACAATTAATCATACAGTCATTAGGGTTTCTTATAGGGTTTCAGAAAATATCAACATCCCCCGGCCTCATGGAACAATTAACCATACAGTCGTTAGGGTTTCTTATAGGGTTTCAAGAAGATATCAAAATCCCCCGGCCCCATGGAACAATTAACCATACAATCATTAAGGTTTCTTGTAGGGTTCAAGGAGATATCGAAATCCCCCACCCCTCTGGAACAATTAACCATACAATCATTTGGGTTTCTTTTCGGGCTTCAAGAAGATACAGTATCAAAAAACCCAAGATATCAAAATCATCATCATCATCATCGTCATCGTCATCGTCATTGTCATCGTCATCGTCCTCATCGTCATCGTCATCTTGGCTTGCCCGGACGCTCGTTGCGAGTCCGGGCAAACCTCAGGGTCTTGCCGCAGTAATAGTAATAATAATAAGATATAATAAGAATAGTAAAAGAACATGAAACAACAACATCTGGCACCTTCACCAGCAAAAAAAAAACATCGCCATCATCGCCCCCCCTCCCTGTGGCACCTTCTCCTTGCTGAGCGCCTTCACTTCCACCTCCAGGTACTGCCTGCGGCGTTCCAACTTGTCGATCTGCTCCGGCTGCGAGCTGAGCTGCACGCGGATCTTAGAGCACGCCTCCGTTCGCGGGAAATGGGGGGAGCCAGGCCTCCAAGTTTTGATGTTGGGCTTGCCAAAATTAAATCCTTGAACGGAAAAAAATAGGGGTTGACCAAGGATCATTTGTGAATGGAGTCAGTAGGGTAGCTGTTTTGAAGCAGAAATGGCTGGTTGCCTTATTGTCCAGTTGTAAATCTATCCACTTATTGAGATTTCGATCAGCAGCCCTAGCTATCCTGGGTGTAAAACAAGTTAGCTAACTATGGGGCATCACGTTGACCAACAGGAATGAGGAAATGTCATGGAGATGTAGCAGGAGATTGTGTGAGATTTATCGGATGCACATATCATCTATATAAATTATATTAGTAATCTATATATAGTAAGAACAGAATGCGTACAGAAAAATGCAATGTCAGATTTCATGGGGATATTGCTAGCAACCAAACAACCACAACAAAAATGGGAATCGGCGGATATTGCATAGTCTAACAGACATATTGTTTTCTTGTTTGTTGTCAATCATATAGCCATATCCAACAATAATGTCTTTCTGCAGACCAACCACTTCTCTCTATAGACTACCCATCAGAAAAAAATATGTCTTAGAATCCGTTGCATAGGATTCAGCAAATCATCCTCGAAACTTGAAGGTCAGTCTGGGCTATTCACCATTCCACACACTTCAAGACTGTTGGGGTTTCTAACTTTCACCTCTTGAGGGCTGTATTCAGGACTTTCCAGATGAATCCATGCGAAAGTTGTGAACTGCTGTGTGCCAATCTGGGGCAGAAGCGTCATTGAAAAATCTGAATTTCAATCTACCTATTACTGAGCCATCGGGGATAAAATCTAGGCCTCCATCTTCAAGTATTAAAAGAAGCCATGCAATTGAATCACCAGCAACGAGCTTGCCTCGTCCAACAGGTCCACTGCCTGAGGGCAATGCTCTTACTCTAATGTGGAAGCGAAGAATCTGCCACTTGTGAAGGATTTACATAATTTGTTTATGAATGAACTCATTGATTGATCAATGCATTATGAACATGGTGTTTTTTCCTTGTCAGGGTAGACTACCAGATGGTACAGTATCGGATGTTGCTTCGAAACTTCAGAAACCAGTTTCACTTCCCTTTGAGGAGAGTAGCAACCCTTGGGGGTGCGACAGACAAGTTCTAACCTGAAGTGGTACATGTAAAAAGCAGCTAGAAAGGGCTCCACAATATGATCAATATGAAGTTTCACTGCCGGCATGACATTCCCACCTTGTCTGGTAGAAATCTGGTGGTGATGTAGCGGTCCTGGGACACTGAAAGGATGGAGATTAAGGCGCACCTTGAGGGTCACATTGAACAACCATCTTGGCCACCTCTCACATTCCCCTTGTTTCATGCACTATCCATATGTGTTCCTTTTATTCCGGCGTTCTCATGTTCATGAGTCACTTTCAGAAATGTTACTTGCACAGCTTGGTTCTCGGCAGTCCGCCTGCTGCGCACCGGGCCAAAAGTTTTACAGTACATCCTACAACATCCTGTGGGACTTGGAAAAGTCAAATGTGCTGGGTGGATGTGTATATTTATATATGCATATATATATGCGTGTGTGTGCATTATATTCATTTACATGTGTATATGTATGTATATATACATACGTATGCATATTTTGCATACTATGCATAGCATAGCATAACCAACTCAACCAAAGTTCACTGAATTATATATATAAGTTGTATCCACACCTTTTGCTGTTAGTGTTCCCATCTCTTGAAACCACCATCCGCATCCCAAACCACTATCAACTATAAGCAACCAACGTCAACCAACATATTTGCTTGATGAATAGTTATAGTAATTTATAGTTGGTTGCGATATTTATCACCATGAATCATTGATAGCTGATAGCTATAGGTTGCAATATCACCATCATAAACCAACCAACTATAATTATCACCACAAAAAGGTTGGTAGATAACTATAAACCATCACTATAAACTATAAACCATCATCATCTTGGTTGATGATCACCATAATCAACAATCCAAGGATATCCAAGGCACCGACAATGTGGCCGCAGCCACCAGCGCGGCGTCCAAGATGCTGACGCCGTGGTGCGCCGCGTAGCGCTCCTTGAGGCCACGCAGAATCGTTACGGCCGTCTGCACCGAGGGTTCCTGGGAGGCCATGGGAGGCCATGGGATCCATGGGATCCATGGGACGGGAATGGGAAACATTGGGAAACCACCAATGGAGAGGTCATATGATTTACTGAGATTTAATGGGATTTAATGGGATTTAATGGGATTTAATGGGATTTAATGGGATTAATATGATAGGGATTTCAACTCATAATCTGAGTGTAATATGATCTAAAAATGGGATTTCATCTGATTCTAAGACCGCCATAGGGATTCACTGTAATATGATTCGCATAGGGATTTCCATGGCAATATATAGGTGGCCCGTTAAGTTTCATGATTTTCTCATTGGGATTTCCATGGCCATCATCCCATCAGTCCATCAGTATTATGAATGATACGGATCATTCATATAATCAATGAAGTTGCAGACAATTACTGATAAGTAATCATTCAATATCATTAATACAGTCAATCAACTTAATTATTGAGAATTATGTAGGTCCATACTAATCCATGTTAGTCCATATTAATCATTAATCCATATTAATCCAGTATTAATCCATATCAATCCACATCAATCCATCTGAATCCATGATCAGCCAGCTCCGTCCTCCACCGTCACCTGTTGGAAGCGCCGTTCCAGGGCGGCGTCTTTTTCGATGTACTTCCGATATTCATCCACCGTGGTGGCGCCAATACAACGGAGCTCCCCACGGGCCAACATGGGCTTCCTGGATGGCACGGCTTCATCAAAATTCCTCAAATATGTTATTTACAGCTAGGCTGTAACCAGTTTACGCACCATTTAAGGCAAGTGCAATGATGACAGGGAATGGTGACATTCAATCAATGGTGTTTCTTGGCGTAGAAACCTGCTCTTGTACAGTATAAAATATATATATAATGTGTTTGTTGCTTATTCTATTCATGATATATGAAAAATATTGAAAAATATTCCCTTGTGTTGTATCCCGGAGCATCAAATTCGTGATGGGCCCCTGCCATCCGCTTCAACTGGCTGGGCCCATCAAATCAGCCAACATCGGGTCATCAGGCTTTGATTTCCAGTAGAATGAACCAATCAATTAAATATGATTAACCATTATTAATGATGGATGATCTATTATTAACTAATTGTTATATGATTAACCATTATGAACTACTAAGACTATTATTAACAATCATTACCTATATGCAACCCTGATGATCATCCAACTGCAATACACATCCAGGTGTCAGCAAGTTGGCGGCATCCATGGCACCGTCCGTCTTGCCGGCACCGATCAACAAGTGCGCCTGAAGCGGCAAACGATATGCGGTTTGCGTACCGGTTGGATCAATTGGTTTGCTTCAGGTGTCGCCCCGTGGAATGGGGAATACAGAATACAATAATCACAGGTTCTCTCCCACCTGACTCTGACATCTCTGTGGTGGCATATGGCTCCCCTGTAGATTTAGTGACGCCATGAAACTCTGAGTCCAAGCCCTTATTGCTGCAAAGTGCAAATCCGATTTGCTGTACAGGGAAAACACGAGGGCATTTCAAAAAGTGTGCCTCGCCAAAATTCCTGTTTGCCTAGCCAGGAAACGAAATTCGTAGCTCCAACTGGCTCCCCATTTAATGAGGAATGCGGATAGCCATAGCTCTGAACCGCTTCCTCCTAAGCACTGGATAGACTGTTGGCCATCTCCAGGTTGCAAAGCACCACGCCTCATCGATGAAAAGCACCACGCGACCTTCGGCGTCTTTCACTTCTTGCAAGACAGCCTGCACAGTTGCGACACGGATGTAAAACAATGCAGTACAGGTGACAATATACTGTGGATAATTCATGGGTAGGTGAAAAAGGCTGACTCGGGTTTGAGATTTCATCCAGACTATGTACAGTAATTGCAGTACCCATCGATATAATTCGATTCAGATAGATACCGATAGAGAACTAGACAGAGATATGTACACAGAATCCTACAGTGATCTAAATATGGATCTGAAAAAATTGCAATAATAATTTTTGGGGGATAGTTACCCTTTACATTCACCATCATTCGAGTGATGCCGCGTTGTGAGATCGTTGTGAATTATCCAGAGTTATGACTAGTAAGTTTATCTCATTATATACAGTGTTATATATATATATATACATTATATATATATGTACCATTATATACCCCATGTTCATCCATTTTCAGTGATTGACGCCCCCTTTATGCTGATCCCCAATTTTTATTGGTAGATCATAAATTATATGTGATGTTATGTAGTGGGAGTGGGATATGTGATGTCTCAATAAAATGTGATACCATCGGATTATATGGGTTTGTCTAGAAATAGAGTAGCCCAAAATTCAATGGGTTATCTATAATTTTCCCTATCGGAATGACTCTTTTGGGGTATACCATGGTATACATTGGTATACCTAAAGACACATCCATATCCCGTTGATATGTCAAATGTTGCTAAGCACATCCGATTCTTCCCGCCGGTGGAGCGGCCTTCAATCGCTCCTCGAATTCACCGCGATACTTGGCACCGCTGATCAGTGCACCGACGTCCAGGGCAATGACACGACAGTCCTGCAAGCCAGGCAAAGCACTGTAGCAGTGAAGATTCCCTCTTGAATGGGGGGTTTAACCACCAACAACAGGGATTTGATATGATTTATATAATATGTTTTGATGGAAGTTACAGAACCATTACCCCATTTCGTTCGATGATTCACCTTTGAAAAGTGGTTAATTTCAATAGCTATGTTCAATCACCAGAGGGTATTTCCTTTGTACTACCGGGTTTATTGGGGATTATGAACTAACCCATAGTAAGGATAGCAATTAACGATTATCAACCAACCAGTATAATGAGGCGGACAGGGGTCAAAAACTATCGAATCCCCTGGTGAACCCCAAAATAGTTGATTGTTATGGATGTTCATTCCCCCCACTATCGTATGATTGGTTTTGACCCATCCCCGTATTTGGCTCACCCGGTGTAGAACCTTCGAGCTATCCAAGTTTGGGGGAATCATCTTAGGCACCGAGTGAATTGAGGGTCCAAATCTCAAGGTTTGGTTCTTAGTCCAAACAAAACCATGGTCGAAATGGTTACTTCCTAATCTTCAGAACAAAAGTCATGTGCCAGGGTTCAGCCTCCACTTTTTTGTGATCGTTTCGAGGTAAGGACCTTCGTCAGCATTTTCGGCATCATCATCATCATCATCATCACCACCACCACCATCAGCACCACCGCCACCATCCTCACATTCCATCAATGTTGCTTCCATCCCCATAGTTTTAAAGCAGCCTCCTCATTCACTGCTCCCAGTCAAATCATGTCCCTGGCCTTCAATGCCTCGGGGACATCCTTGGTGACCACCCGTTGCGCCAGCCCTTCCACAATGGCGGTCTTGCCAACGCCAGGGTCGCCAACCTGAAACTGCTCATCTGGGTGGTTTCAGCCATGGAGACAACAAGGGATTATTAACCAACAAAAAACGAATGCCCGGCAATTAGAAATCTCCTAAACAATCCTAAACATGACAGCTTTATTGGAAGATCATCAATAATAATTGGTGGTTTTTCCAGCAATCCATGTCTGATTTCCAGGGGATAACCAACAACAATGGGTGTCTTGAGACAATTGATCTGGCTGACGGTTGAACCACCCAGCCCCACCATTGTCACCAACTGAGGTGCCAGGATGGGGTTGTTCTTCGTCCTTCGTGCCAACACCTGCAAACTTGGCAGCCAGGCTTGGCAAATGTGGTGCACACACACAAGACCCATGCTGAAGCCAGTTTTTGCGGCGGAAATTTACAAGAAAAATGGCACGCCCCAGGACCGCAACACCCGTTTTGTGTGAGCCTGCGCTGTTGAAATGCACATGGACATGTCACAAGAGCCATTTTATGCGGAAATTTACAGAGAACATGCCGGACGCCCCGGATACCACCTCGACTGAACACCGGGCCCTAACCCTGACCGTAAGAACCCCAAGTGTGGCCACACTGTGGGAATATTGGTACCCCAAATATTCCCAAATCATCCAAACTTAGAAAAACGACCTAGTATTGTTTCAACCATGGTGAAACAACCATGGTGACTTGGGGATCCAGCATTTTACGAGAAACCTCCTACCCTCTGGTAATTTAACGTAGCTATTGAAAATGACCATTTATAGTGGATTTTCCCATTAAAAATGGTGGATCTTTCCAGAGTTATGTTAATTTACCAGAGGGTAATCTTTCCCATCAACATTCCCCGGCCCCCCCCCGCTCCCCCAAACCCATCCTGGATCACGCGTCGGATCTCCTCGTCTCGGCCAATGACGGGGTCCAGCTTGCCCGCCTCGGCGTCCGCGACCAGGTCGCGACCGTACTTGTTCAGGGCCTGCCATATTTCGGCCGAGGGACACAAAATGATGGCTTTCAGCCACTTAGCAAAAAAAGATGTTTGGATGATTTAATGATTTGACTGACAAAAAATGGGAAATGGAGCATCAAAATGATGAATATGAGGGGGATCCAGATATCTAGATTTTGAAGAAAAAACGCGAGAGAGAGAGAGAGAGAAAGAGAGACAGAGGGGGGATCCATTTTTTGGAAAAAATAAATAGGGATAGAACTTTGAGAAAAAAATCGTGCAACTTAGGTTGAAGAACTGCAAACAGAGATCAAGAAACATTTATATTTCATTTAAAAGGAATAAGTGTGTGAGCTCCGAAATTGCAAACTCTCCAGATGCCATCCTCAGTGTGGACGGAAAACCAATACTGATTTTGAAACTACCAACCAGAATTGATTTATCTCCCTATGTTTGCTGGTGATATTCAATCATATGTCAATTAAGTTTTGGGTAAGATTGGAATTCTCATGGATATTTGCTGAACGGAGCCGCAAAAATAAGACATACAGATTCCTCGAACGCCGGATTCCCGATTGGGAAAATAAAACCAAAACTCCGCTTCGTCAGACTCATCAAAGTCATCAAACCCACATGTTTGACAATTTTCAGTGGGCGAAACCCATGTTGAACCCCTGGTTCGCCTCATTTTGAGAGGCACCCATGGTTGCGTCACCCCGTGACCCCCGGTAGGGCGGTGCCAGGGCCTCGAAGTTCTCGTCGCCCGTCTGGCTGTCCACCTTGCGACTGCCACGGACGTCACCCATGGCCTTCTCCAGCTGGGTGATGCTATAGCCGGCGCTGCTCAATATCTCCTGGGACCATGGGTATGGTATATCTAATATGGATATCCATGGTATAATTGGGGACATGCATATGATAATTATATGATATGGGATATGAACAATGGGATACTTCATCCATTCATGGGATATAATGGGATGATTCATCCATAAAATGAAGATGTTTCCATCATGACCATCATGGGATTATAATAGACATTTATTTCATGGGATATTTAGAGGGATGTGTGGTGCATAATGGCTAATTTTCCCATTAATGTGACAACCAAAATTGTATAAACCCCAATGACCTGCCATAGTTGGTATAAAGCATCCCGAAACATGACCTCGCCATAAGTGGCAAGGCTGGCCCTGTGGCTGGCCGTGACTTGATGACACGCAACAGCTGCATGCAAGCTTAGAATCATGGTCTGGAAGTGCAAAGTTTCTGGTTGTTTTTCAATTTCTACTTCTCATGTTGTGTCTTTCTCTGCTGCTTTGTGCCTGCCGTGTGTTCCATGCACAAGCCTGACGGAAAACAGTCGGTGGCTCCTTGATGGGTTTCTGCTTCAGCAAGGCCAAGAAGAGGTCCGTCAGACTAAGATAACCTCCAGCTATGGGCTGCGCTTATCATTGTGTATCTACTTATCCATGAGGCTCCATGTTTGGAAACATCCCGAAAGGGAATGGCTCAAACATGAGATGCCAATCAACAAGCAGCTGTCAATACTTTTGACCCATCCATATAGTTCCACATGTAGGTAGCCTATGCCTCGAGAATTATTGGTGAAATTCCGATTTTGGGCTGGCTGCGGCTACATCCCTATTTTGGGTTGGTTGGGTCCCAGCTATTGTGGCTCAATCCCATGTTTCATTGGCTGTTCTCCCAAAATTGAGTTATTGAAATCCCTGCTTTTGTTGCATAAGTCCCAACTTTCGCTCTGTCGCTAAGTCACAGTTTTTGCTTGTCAAATCCTGATTTCTGTACCAGCTAAATCTCCATTCTGGTCGGCAAAACCCTCCTTAGGTTGCTTTAAATCCAATCCTTGAATCTGAAATCGTCTTGCTGTTTTTACTTTGTAGTGTGTACCACGCTGTACCCTTCCCAATCAATTGGATAAATTACAATGATTCATCCACCTGGAAAGTTTGACCATCATTTGCATGGGGATGGTTGGTTGCCCTTTATATTCGCTACTACTAGTAGTATTCCAGTGACGACGCTTTGCAAGGCCTGATCGAATTCAGAGTCATGCTTGGTAAATCCCTTCAATTATACCCCATGATATCCCATTTTAATCCATTTTATTGGTTGATTCCCCATTCATGCTGATCAACATTACTGTACATCCCCATGATATTCCCCATAAAAATCTCCATGATTCCCCCTAAAAAAAACCTATTGTACCAGCAATTTTCATAGTTAAATCATGTTAAATCCCATTTTCTTGGGTTCAGAGTTGTGGTTGGTGAACCCCCCTGTTATTTCCAGTGTCTACCCCAGTATCAGTGCTTGATTCCCTGAAGTCATGGACCGACCCACCAAGTGACTATCTCCACTCTGCTTCCGCAGCTTTTCGGCCTCGCTCAGTGCGGTGCGCATGGCATTGTTCGGGGGCAAATCCTGGCGCTGAACTGGAAGCTCAGGGATGACCAAAAGAACGTCAACGAAAGGTGTAAAGAACCTGAGAATTGCAGCAACATTTGGGAATTTAAGGGAACCAAATGCAAAAAGACATGGGAAAATCAGCAAAATTGTGGATTTAAGGGATGCAACAAACAGGTTGAGGTTGAAACTCTTGCAATTCAAGGTAAATTGTCGGATCAAGAAAAAGACTTTCCACCAAATGTGGCGGGTTGACAGTTTTGATCAAATGGCGATTCAACCGGTAATTTTGGGATTTAACCAACAGGAATCAGATGGAAACGGTGCCCCGCAAAGGAGGGAGGTACAAACTGTTGGATTTCACCAAAAATGGGATGCTCTGGATTTCACCATTGCGACTGTTCACCTGTCACTTCAACCATGGCATTGGGCACCTCTACAGTAATTCCATTGATGAATTGCCAGTTCCCCGTCTTAAAGTTGCCTTTTCTGGGGTGTACCCCATTTTCAGACCCAGATCTTCATATCAAACTGGTTATATACTATATCTTCCATGTTGTCAACATCGCCCATATGGTTGAATCCCCACAACTGATCATCAACCAACCATGATATCTCCATATCCCATAATTTCCGATGATAATATATATATACATATACACTCTGTATGTGTGTATATATAATATATTATTATTATATATATATATATTGTATATATATATATATTGTATATATATATTGTATATATATATATATTGTATATATATATATATATTGTGTATATATATATATATATTGTGTGTATATATATATATTATTGTATATATATATATTATTGTATATATATATATTATTGTATATATATATATATACACATACCCATCATTGTTGCTTAAATCATGTTCACACTCCCAGATTTTCCCCGAAACTGCAGGGACTTTCCGCCTCCGGAGCCGGAGACTGGGAACTGAAGCTGCCCAGCAGACGCTCGCAGCCCTTTACCAGCTCCATGCTGTCACCGTTGAGGCGACTCAAGACCTGGAGAGACGAGTGGGATGAAATTGGGAATTACTTGGGTACCAATTCAAATGGGATTGATTTCATGGTGATGCAATAGTGACTTTTTCTAGTGGTGATTCACTGGGTGTTTTACTGCGTGGTTTACTGGGTGGTTTACTGGTTTAGCTGTTGTGATGGGTTTCAATAACAGGTGGTTTGCTGTGGTTCTTCTGGATGGATTTTGCTGGATGGTTTTCTTGATAATGGAGGTTTTGATAGATGCTCTTGATGGACGCTCTTGATTGTCTTCATGGAATTGTGATTCAAGCAATGTTCTGGATGGATATGTTGATAGGGGTTTTATGGTCGTTGAGTGGACTCTTATAGTCCCTTAATTAATGGAGTTGGGATGGAATTGCTTATGGTTTCTCAATGGAATTGTCTTTGTGGATGTTTTCCATGGAATTGTTGATGAACGTTGGAGGTGTCTTAATGGCCTTTTACTGTAATAGATTGCTGGATGGATGGATGGACGGATTGATGGATGGATGCTCCATAGTCTTATGGTTGTTTTTATGGCTTTTGTTAACCTGTCAAAATATGGGAACAAACTAATAAAACTAATTGACCGCTAGAAAAATCTGCAGGATTTGGGGAGGACACAAATCAAATACAAAATTCGAAACATGATTTGGTCGTTTGGAGTCACGAAAATTCATTCAGAAGATGAACCAGGTCGGAAACTGGCAGGTCCGCTGAGCCCGTGACTTGAGCTGGAAGGGAAGTCTTGTCTTTCACGAGAACTGTGAAGATGTGTGCAGGATCCAACTGCAAGTGTCCCTTCTCCTGGCTGAGATGTTGGTTCTCATGACAAATGCCAGTAGTATTGGTCTTCATGGACTGTTTGTCATACCAAGCATGCTGGAAAGTCTCCTGGGGTCAAATACTGTATCAGGAAATTCTGAAGGTTGAGGTGGAAAGAAAATGAAAGGGTGGACATTTTAGTGATAGCAACATTGTTGTATTCAAAACCAGCTTACCCAAACATCCAGCAGAAATTCAATGGGTTTAGGGCACCCTAGAGCAATGGACAATTCCTATGTGCCAAGAGGAAAAACACCTGGGGGATTCCAGTGCTAGGCTAGGTTTCCTTTTCAGAGGCTACTCTCTATCAACCTCGCAGGGAGCAATCCCATTTGTACCTCTCCTTGGCGAGCCGCGCCGCATCCTTGATGACTTTCCCCGTCATCTCGGTGAAGTCGGCCGAGCCGGACATTGCGAAAGAAGCGTGACGAATTTGGGTGTGAATGAAGGTGAGCCAAAATTGCTGCAGCGGGAATATTTGCAAAGGGCGAATTTGCCAGAAAATCCTGCAGGGCCGAGAAAGGCTAAAAAGATCTGAAAAGAAACAAAAGTTTTGCGGAAGCACCCAGGCACCTTTAGCCGCTTGGGGCTTGCATTGCTTGGTCATGTATTCAGAGTTGTCCAAATCAACTGTCATCAGCCCTTTGTTGATGGAAATGCTTGATGGCATAGTTACCAATATTTAAACTTACCTAGAAATTGATGTATACATATATATATATATAATTGTATTATATATATATATATACTTATTTATATCTATGCCGTAAACTAAGCCACCCCACGTGCCGGGCACTTCCCCATCCTGGCCTTTCGCATTCTGTCCCAAGAAGCCCCTGAAGCCTGGACCCGTGGGGTGAACATCGCCCAGTTACCCTGGATGATGTGGATGATTTGGATGATTTTCCCATTGCAAAAGAACAAAAATCTAGCAGATTCTAGCAAGAACGGAGCTCAAATCCCGTTCAAAACGTGCAAAATTCATCGATTTCCATCTTGACCAAGGGTTTTCTTCTTCGTTTCCCGCCTGCATGGCGCTGGATGAGCTCCAGAAAGGAACAGGGCACCACCTCTTCTCTGCCGCAGCCGAAACGGTGAGGCACCTCATCCTGAGTCAAAAACTGGGAGAATCGCAGGTGGCGCGCTGGAAAAGGTTCCGTTTATAGATGATGTTCCCATGAAACCCCACCCATTTATATCGATTTATGGAGGATGTTCAATTGCTGGTTTGGAACTGGGATGATGTATATAAACCGAGTACAAAAATGGGACGACTCCAAGTAGGGTACGTAATGACCAGTTCTGTTGACCAGGTACTAATTGGAACGATCCTCCAAGAGGGAAGATGCTGGAAGTGGGGTTTAGCATGGAGAAGCCTCCCACTTCCACTTTTCCAGAACCACGGCTACATTACCAGGCTTGATCAGGGGGAGTAGAATCCAGCAGGTGGTAGCGTCTGAAAAGAAAACAACCGCATGTCCCTAAGCAAAATGGATGTGTCTGAAAAATCAGGTAGATCTCCCTTAAATGTTTTAGATCATTTCGGAAGAATGATGATCAACTTGATCAACCATTGGATTTTGGAGTACTCCATTTAAAATCAGTAATCAAAATGGCCAATTCACCATTTATACCCTCTGGTTATTTAACGTTGCCATGGAAAATCACTGTTTTTAATAGGTAAACCATCTATAAATGGGCCATTTCCCATGGCTATGTTAAATAACCAGAGGGTACCATGGATTTTCTCATTCAAAGCTCCATAAAAATGGTGGATTTCCCAGCTTGCCATGGTGGAACAGTCCCAGCAGCTGCCATGGTGGAACTCTGCTCCAGGGACACAGCGGGACTGCCTGTGGGGAGTTTCGGGCAAGTGCACCGCCGGACTATCTATATATATATATATCTGTGTGTGTAAATGTGTATGTATAAACATAAATTAAGTATAAATTATATCGATTATATCATATCATTATATAAGGGATACCATATATTCCTGTATACATTATATTACATCCCCTTACTTGGAACCTTGCGTCAGGCCATCGCTTCCGCCGGCTCGGTTGAAGACCAAACCGTTGGATTGCAACAAGGCCTCCCGAAATGTGGAATTCACCAAGGATTCACAAGGGAAATCGGGAAATCGGGGGAGATTTACTTCAAATACATGGCTTTCTCTGAAAATGTGAGTTTTTTAACCAAAACAAAACTTTGGAATTTCCCATTGACATCACTACTTTGGGGGATAGCCTATTTTCAGACACGGCCACATAGCCATTTTAATCTGAAAAATGATGAAAAAGAAATAAACATCGTAAAACTGGGGAGATTTGCAGTGGCCAGTTTGACTATTCCTCTCTATTGTATATAGCACAATATGTATAGATACATAATATATATATATATATCGTACAATGTGTATATATATATATACATATATATAATATTATATAACTATATATATCGTATATGTATGATACATGAATTAAGCCTAACATATTACATGTAAAATTGCAAAATGTAATAGACATAGGACTAGCAAAAAAGGATGTTGAAACACCTGCAGGATGACTGGTGACGCTAACGGGTATATGGAGACAACGAATGCCATTGATGGAATACTCTCCGCTGTTCCGTATGGGTAAGCACTTCAAGTGAACAACCACTCAATACGGTTTTACCAGGACCAGTAAACTTCGACCCATGCATGCAAGGAAGCCAAATTACAGGAGTTGGTGAGGTCAGAATGGGTTGAACCTGGACCGTTGCTTACAGAGTTAATCCATGTTAATCCTACCCGAAACCGTCCACAACAATAAACTTGTTGAATCTCCTGATCCTCCTTCCCGCTGACCCAACAGCTGTAGGATCGTCTGCAAGGAAATTGCTGGTCAAATGTTCGGTACCCTTTTGTTCACATGAAACCAGCTGGGATTTATGGATGCTCCCATGTTCATACCCCCCAGCTACGGTATTTCATACCTAAATTGACTCCTCAGAGGTTGACGCCCCACAAATTCACCAGGTCGCATTGAGGTCCGCCAGCGTGTTCACACCCGAAATACCCAAGGAGTTCAACAAAATGGTCACGTGGTTGATACCTGGAAGGCCAAATCGCCAGGCCCCTTATGGCGAACTTACTTGGCATACGTGCCAAGCAATGTTTTCGCCTTTCAACCTCTGCTTCAGGTTTCAGGCAAATCCAATGTCATCAAAATCTCTACCCCTGTTCAACTCCCCAAACTATCAATTCTGTGCTGAAAAAAGGTGAAAACAATGACTTCCGACAAAGCCTACAATTCTCCCACACATCAACTCATAGCAGTTCCAACCCTCTGCTGCTATCGTCACCGACTTTACCAAGGTGCGATGGCCATGCGTCAAGGTCCAAGATGCGTACCTCGGTGTTTTGAACCACTCTCGGGGGATCCAACATCACAAAAATCCACCTGTCATTGGTGATTTTCCCCTTTCAACTTGGTATTTTCCATTGCTCAACTCAACTGGTGGAATTGCCTCGTTCCCATGTTTTTAGCCATACAAAGGACAAGAAACTCCAAGGCGTTTCCCATGCTCGGGTCAGCAGCCATGTTTCTCAGTGTCTGCCTAGGCATCGCCGGTGCTGGGCCGGTTTCCCAAAATCATGTTGGATTCCTCTAGCGATGACAGATTATGGGACAAAAAAAAACATTCTGCACCGGCCTCAGCTACATTGAAATCTACGTTTACACCCTAACCGCTAGCCTGTCCCGAGCAGCGGGTTTTGAAGAAATCCCAAGAATGGCAGATTGATGAGTGTCGGTGAAAACCCTGGAACCCTGGTGATTTCACACCAAAATAGCGTGTGCGTTGCAAAATAGTTGGACATTCATCCCCCCATGAATCAAACGTCCAATATGGGTGGCATCAACCATCCTCCAACAAAACAAACATGAACTGCAGGTGTTGTTCAAAAAGTGAATCTAATCCGAAAAAAATAACCCGATCAACCTTTGGAACAAAGAAACTTCCTAGAAACTGTTTCAGAAACACAAACAAAAGCTGTTGCCCCGATATGATATTTTCGAGGTAAAAACCCTAGCATGAACCAATCCCAAAAACCTTCAATTTTTCTTTTCTGCCACCAACTTGAAGAATCAGCCCAACTATCCTTTGAAAACCATCATCTTTCCCCAAACAAGAGATAGTATTCATCATATCCCCCTGTTAAATGTTAAGCCTACATATACTAATCACATATCATCAGACATATAAGTATATATATATAACTAATTCTAACTATAGATAAATAAACATTATATATATATATACTGACAGGGTCTGTGTCGGCCGGTGACTCGGCCGCCGGGGTGGGCGTGTCGGCCATGGGTGTGCGTGTCGGCCGGCGCCAGGTGCCGCGTCGGCCGGCGCCAAGTACCGTGCCGGCCGGTGCAAATTGTCGCTCCGGGCATTGGCGATACATATTGGACGCAGCCCAGTGCAAACTTAGAGTTAGCAAACTAAGGTCTGGGTGTTGAAACTGGCATGTCTGTGTCGGCCGCGGGGCTTCTGTGTCCGACGGCGGGCTGGCGCTTTGGGGGCTGCCACAAAGCAGGCTAAGAGAACCCAGAGCTAACTTAGCAAACTAAGGTCTGGGTGTCGAAACAGGCATGTCTGTGTCGGCCGCGGGGCCTCTGTGTCGGACGCATGGGGGCTGAGTCGGACGGCGGCGGCTGTGTCGGCCGCGCAGCTTCTGTGTCGGACAGCACGGTGGCGCGTCGGGGGCTGCCACAAAGCAAGCAAAGAGACACAGCTAACGATTGAAACTTGCCATTTACAAGCTACAAGAGAAAATTCAGAGCATAGCGTCAAGAGCGGCTTAAAGTTACTTGAGAAAGTTCAGCGTAGCATCCAGAGCATGCCGCAAGTTACAAGAGAAAGTTCAGAGTTTGGCATCAAGAGCATGTCACAAGCTGCCAGAGAAAGTTCAGAGTTTAGTAGTATCAAGAGGTGATAAAAGTATTTAAAAGTGACCAGAGAAAGCGCAGAGCGTAGCATCAAGAGCATGTTACCAGTTCCTTGAGAAAGTTCAGAGCGTAGCGCCAAGAGCGTGTGACCTGCTGCCTCGCGACCTGGTTGTCTGACTCGGGACCTAGTTGACCTGGTTGTCTGACTCGGGACCTGGTTGACGTGGTTGTCTGACTTGCGACCTGGTTGTCTGACTAGCACCATCCTGTTGACTCGCGCCATCCTGGTCGGCTGACTCCGGCCTTCCTGTTGGCTGACTCGTGCCTTCCGGTTGGCTGACTCGCGCCTTACTGTTGGCTGACTCGCGCCTTGCTGTTGGCTGACTCAGGCTGGCTGACACGGTCTTCGCCCGTGTGAGTCTATATATATATATGTGTATATATATATATATGTATATATATATATGTATATATATATATATATATGTACATATATATATATATATAGATATATATATATATAGATATATATATATGTATATATATATATATAGATAGATATATATGTATATATATATATGTATATATATATATAGATAGATATATCCCCATACTATCCTCCCCATGAAAAAATCCTCCCAGGCACATCTCCTGAATCGTGGGATTCCAGGGTGGCGTCTCCAGCAATTCTGCCACCTGCTTTGGGTCGTTGCTCTCTAGCGCCGCCACAGCGCGGTCGGGCTCGTAGAAGCCGTCCACGTGGCCTGCGCAGAGAAATGGCCGGCGAGTTTGGACCTTTAAAAAATGAACCTTACAATGTCTAGATGAGGAGTATGATCTCATATGATCTTATACGGGTATAAATGTATAGAATTGTATATAGATGTACATAGTACAAAGTACAATATCGGGATCTGGACCTTCAAAATGTCTTAAAATCAAGCTGAGTCCAAGAGGAGCTGACACGTAGCGGACGATGGGAATAGATGCCTTTGATGGGGTCGGCTCCAATGTGGCCGACTTTTCTTTCGTTACAAGTGAGGTGAGTTTGTCCCAATTAGCCAACAGTAGCTGTAGTGCTGTTTATGAGGGGTCTGGAGCCCAACCCCTTCAAGTGTCCAAACAATGGGCCGATTTTGAATCAACAGAAAAAAGTAGAAATTCTTACCTGCATTGATTGATGTTAATATCTGTGGTGGCAACAAGCACCGCTAGACAACGTTGGCCAACGGATGCAACTGGAGTTTATGATGTGTACTGTATATTGTATATAATATGAAACATTACATATATATATAAGATTATATAAGTATATATATATACTGTATAATCATATTTTACATATATATATAATATATAATATGCCATGTAATGTACAGTATGAATATTATATGATATTACAATATACATGAAATCTGGTCCAAACAAATGAGACCAATAAACAATCTACATTCTTTGAAGGTGACCCTGATACCACACCAAGGGACGGAACAGCACATCTGCGGCATCGCTTGGGAGCTCGTTAATTCGCATTTCCGAGACAAAGATTTTCGGCCAATTCGTCCTCGGCGTTTTCAAGCTTTTGCAGAATGTGTAGAGTGACCCAATGTACCCCCAAAGACTGCACCCGTAAAATAGAAGTGGTCAGAAGTGTCTGATTCGTTGGGAATCACTAGAAGTAGCTGGGAACCTTTTAGTTCGCAGTGTCCGTGGTCACGTGGATGCTTATAATACATGTGTATATATATATATAAACATATATATATATAAACATATATATATATACATATATATATAAACATATATATATATGCACGGTGCACAAGACCATCATTACTAAAATTGTTTGACCAAATTTGGGTTGGTTTATTGTTTAGCCATCGTAAAGCGGCGATGATTTTGAGCCATATCCACTACCCACCTCAATCCCCCGTGGTTTCAACTGAAATGATAAAAATGGACCTTCTCCCGGCATTGACAGCAAGGATCTCTTCGGGAGGCTCATACCAGCGTGCATTCACGCAGAGGCCAGGAATCACCAAGGAGTCTGGCGACGAATGGTGGCAGAAATGGTGAAGAAACACCCATCGGTTGCAGCGTTGCGTCTTCATATCCACGTTTGCTGGCTACAAGAAACTCTCTATGTTCAT